GTTGCTCATTACTACGTTAAAAGATTGCCCCTGAGATGACCAGGGCAGCCTTGGCAGTCTGCAGTGTGAGCATGCCAAGCGCTGCTTCGCATAAACAGCGAACTCCTGAAATGAATTATGGTATCGAAGGAAAACTTGTCTCTGTCCTTAAAAATAAATTTAAAACCAAATTAGTACCCTGATCTGTTTTCTTAGAAAACAGAGAACATCAAAGAAGATTTTGGGGAAGGTGCTGAATGTAATAGGATTGTTGCACGGGATGGTTTTTCCGGTCCATTATTTCTGTGTGCATATACAGTTTTGTGTATTCATCTCATGCTGTGTGGGTAAAAAGCTGTGTAGAGGAACCGTAAATTATATGACAGGAAAAAAAAAAAAGCAGCCATTTTGAACAAGACCTTCCCTAACTTCTTAGAGGAAAAACTGAATAATAATTTTCTTTAAAAGTACAAAGCATTTTTCAGTAGGGAAAATAATTACTTACTCAGGAATGTGAGCAGGGCACTGGACACCTGACCTGTAATTTAGGGGAATAGTGCAGGGTTTTCCATCAGTAATTGTTACAGTAGAACCGTGGGGCCCCAGCTGAGACCAGGACTCTCTTGTGCTAGGCACTGTCTATCCAGCAGGAGATAACCACTGCTGCAGGAATCTTGCAGCTAAAGCAGGGCAGATGGAAGAGAGAAGGGAGGAAATGGTGGAGGAAAGAAGTGGTTAGCCCAAGGTCATGCTACTCTCTAATGGACCTGCGGCTTTGCACTGGTAGACACTTTATCTGAGTTCAGTCTTTCGTACCATGGCAACCCTGATCAGAGAGAATGGCCATAATTTAAGTGGGTAATGGCATTTGTCTGCATGAAAAAGCATCTTGAAGGATCCATCTGTTGTATGGGCTATCCTGTACAAATTGGGTACATAGATCTTCCTTCCAAGTTTCAGGCTGCATGCTGCTTAGTGTATGCAGTACATGAGAATATAGATTTTTTTAGGGCCATAGTAATTCAACGCTTGGCTCTTTGGTTTGCCTTAATCTAATCAACTGAATATAAGATTCTTCAGACTGCAAGGAATTTCTTGTGAAGTAATTCGTCACTGAATTCTCATAGAGAAGGAACTGTGTGTTAGTTTGAGGAAACACGAGCATCTTTAAATTGTTGCTCTCTTCATATAACTGACCATAATTTTGCTTAGAAAAATAATAGTAATGCTTCGCTGCTTGAAATATGGCAGTCTACACATTTGCTAACTGAAGCAGGGATCAGTTCTACCTTACCTGTATTGTTCTTAGTTACTTAGTTACTGGCCCCGAAGTAAGCAAGCACTTGTGTTCTTTCTTGCCACTGAAATAAGGGGCATGTCCGGTGGTTCCATACCACTGCCACGTGTGTTCCTTTGCACAGCGATAAACCAAATAGATTTATGCTTAATTCTCCAGGCTCACAGAGGCAATGGGGAAAAAAAGAATGTTTGGAATTTGCAGTGCTATGTGTAGCAGCTCTGCTTCAGTGGGCGAAATTTTATGTGGGGCATTAGAGTTGGCAAAGGGGTAGAGACAGTAGAGAAGCTGTGATGTGTTTGATTGTGTAGCAGTAGAGAGGCCCCATCGTTACCCACCTCACTGGCCTTTCCCCATGACACCCTGGGATGCAGATGAATTAAAAGGGTGAAGGGAAGGCGGCACATGTTGCAGAACCTTTTCCATCTTGAAAGACACTGTCGTCAAATTACGTTTTCAGACTGTTTTGTTTTACTGCTCTCTGCAGTGTGGTGATTCAGAAGCAGTGGGAGGTGTCTGTCCCTGCCATTTTTCCCTCTTGGTTACCACACACTGAGAATGGAAACCTGAATGTCTGAGACATGGCTGTGTTTTTAATGTGTGTAACAGAGATGTGTATGACTCACATGGAACTTGTGGCACAAACTCGGTCAAAGTCCTGAAATTATCTATGGAAGCATCACGGTGTATCAAGAAATAATGCAATTTTTTGCCAGTGTTGTATTCATTACAGGGAGGCAGGCGGCTCATTTAGTGCTTCTTGTGTAATATGCACAAATAGGTTCGAGAATGCAGGTCATGCTATTCAAATATATGAAATTCTAGTGGGCATTTGAGAAGATATTCACCAGTTGCAGTAATTTCATAGACTTTGGCCTTGCTTGCTGTTAGGAGCATTCTATAATTTCCCTGTCACACAGCCAGGAAACCAAAATGATACCATTTGCATTAGTTACTAATGGCTTTTTTACAGGCTACCAGACTCTCTCTGTATATATTGAACAATAAAAACAGGGAGCTGTGTTGATTCACTGTAGTTTCTGCTTGATGTAATCCACATTTTATGTTGAAGCATTTCTTCACTTCTAAGAGATGTTTTATTCTTTTCATCCTTTGGATAAGTAAGATCAATCCTGATGCCAAAGCCCAGTAAATATTAAGACTCTTTTACCCACAGGGTAAGCTCACTTAGGTCAAACAGTAGCTCCACCTGGTGTTGAACCCTCTAAGTTTATCTTGTGGTAAAACCTGAGTCTTCATTGGCATTGTGCTTTTACCCTGGGATTGCTCCTGCACACCACGGGGCCTGCTCCTTATAATGCTTTTATGTTGGGACAGTTCATGGGAGTGCTACTGAGTGACGAAAAATGCTGCGTTTTTAGCAGTGGAGGCAAGTCCTTTGTTTCAGCATAGAAAACATGATTTCCATCCACAGAGACTTCAAAAGAAACAGTAGGAATTCTTGAGAGCCTGATTATCATGGCATAATCACATTACCAGAGAGATTAGAAGCACTTTACTGTGTCTTTATGGTTTAGTGACACTCTGAGGCACTGGACAGAATCTTCAAGTGCTGTTAGAATCTTTCTTGTAGGGCACTATTGCAAAAGAGAGCTTTTTACCTAGGGGACCTGAAATCAGAGAGCACGCTTAATTCCTCTGTCAGAGAGCTGCAGAGCTTGTAGTTACTGGTCTTTGCTGTCTCATCTAGATATATTTCTCAAAGTGACCTTCAGCAGAGCACAACAAAAGCCTCCTAAAACATTAATTCCTCTCAGTTCCAGTCATCGCAAGGCACTGTTGTTAACCAGGCAATCAAACTAATTGAATACCGAAGTGTTAGCAAGTCAAACAAGTGAGGAATTCACAGCATTTTTTCCTCTAGAAACCGTGGTGCACTTTTGGATGCTGTTGCTTGTGTGAGTGGTGGCTGGTTATAACACTAACATGCCCATTTTTAGGGTATGTCTCTCCCCTGCTGTATTGTCTTAAGGTGAACAGTCCACAACCCATGTCTTGTAAGTGAGATGTTGCCTGAAAGACTCTGAGTAGCTTGTGACTGGGGGAAATTAAAAAGTTAAAACTAAGACTGAAAGTGAGAGCATTGCATGTGATTTACGTAACATGTTCCTTGTTGTGTATGGTTGTCAAGGACCACTGAAGATTTGGGGGGATTAATGTTATGATCCCATGGTTCCCAATATAAAGGATTCCATTGATGATTAACCCAGAGTGAAGAAAGCTAAAAATAATCAACAGAAAAGCCTTTTCAGATGGGAATCTGTGCCTCTGGAAGGGCACAGCATGGACAGTGTCTAGGCAGAAAAGATATGAAGTATAACACATGCGCTTGACCTCTGTTAAAAGGCCAGGATGAAACAGTCACAACAGCAAGAGTGACGCTAGGAAAATAGCTGCTTCAGTAGCGAAGAAACATGGAATATGGGATAAAATGGTTTAGCCTGAATAAGTACTAAAAATTATCCTGGAAAAAGAATTTTTAAGATCAGTTACTGTTTGTTCCATTTTGTTTGATTATCACCGTGTAACAATGCATTTTTAAATTCACTCTAAAGCCTTTCACCTGCCAACTCGTGGAGTCAGGACTGTGTATGCCTCCAGCTGAGATTACCAGAACACTTGCAGCAGGGAGCTGCATTCCTTCTGCTGGTTAAAGGAGTTAGGGAAAGAGAATGGGAACACACTACCATGGGCATGAGTGTAGAGGAGGATTGAAAGGAGGGAGATTTGGGGTTCTTTAACTTCCTCCTCCATTCTGTATCTTTCAGTGTGAAAGTTTGATTCTCTGCATGGATAACTTCATGTGTTCCACTGTTTTGCCAGGAGAAAGCATAGCCCTAAGCTGCCATTTTCTACTGCCACTCTGGGACCTTAGGCTCTGTGGATCTCTTTCAGATCCTTTCAAAAGGAACCAAATAGGAAGTGCAGAAATGTTTACAAAAAGCTCTGTGTAAAGCGTTCAGCTGCCAAGAGGCAGCTCCTGAGGATAAGAAAAAGTAAAGCACCTACAGCAGTTTCTTTTTAAACCTTAGCCTGTTTTGGGAGCAAGTACCCAACTGCCCTGCACATCCATGTACTGATAGAACAATAAGAGCTCATCACTCCCCTATGAGCCTCTGCAGTTGTAGAAAAGGCTGCCACCTCCGGGCACTGCTCAGTCATTGCACCCTTCTTTTTGTGCTCAGGGAGTCCAAACCCACGCCCCAGCTGTAAGGCAACCAGGAGAGGACAGTTGGAATCAGCCCCAGTCTTGAGCCAACCATTGTACCAGTCTCAAATACTCAAAAGTGTGTTTGCTGGCTGCTTGTGACCAATGCACTTCTTGCACCTTGTGTTACTTTTTTGTTGTGCTGGATCTAAAGTATAGGCAAGATCTTTTTGTACTACGCAGCTTGGGAATAGAGGTGCAAACTCAAGTAGCAGCAGCCAATTTGATCTCAAAACACTGTCGTCTTCCCCTGTTCCTTCCTACAGCAATATGGGCAATAATAAATCTTCCAGGAAAAAGGGGGGATTTCTTACTGTTACTCGTGACTTGCCTGAAATAGCCTCTGAAAGCTTTATCTGAGAACGTACAGGGAAAACTTTAGGATGTTCTCACTTCCCTGAGAGGTACCAAATTGCATTAAAGATGAGTTGAATGGAGTAATTGCAAAGGAGTTTGTGAACACCATGCACTGACTTACTGTTTTCTTGTTATTAGGGTCGACCAGGACCGATTGGCCTTCAAGGACCGATAGGTGCACCTGGATTTACTGGCCCAGAAGGTTTGCCAGGAGGAAAAGGTGAGAGAGGAGCAGTGGGCCCCCCTGGACCAGCTGGACATAAAGGTGACAAGGTAGGATCAACAGAGGCTTATCTGACCTTGCAATACTTCTGTGGCCTTGTATATATTTTTGACTGAATAAAGATAATCTTGGACTATGTGCCCTGAGGTAAGAACACAGCAGTATTTCACTGGTATCTTCAGAGAATCCCTGCTTTTATTTTTGAATGAGAACATGGTTCCTAAAGCTGCTGTACACTTACTCATCCTGGCAGATGAACCATCACCAAATGAGCATTGCTGTTGCAAATAGTCTTTCACTTCACATGCCCAGGGATAGATGGGTGTTGTTAATGCTACGTGCAGAGAACTGGAGCTGGTTCATGTGTAGGACATCCTGAGTTATCATCTAGCAAAGGAATGGGTACTAAGTGAAACCTGCAATTCAGTTTTGCAGGTCCAAAGTTATTCATAACAGAAAGAGTATTATAAACTATGTCATATTAAATGGAATAATCTTTAAGGTGTGGGTATCAAATAATGCAGTGTGCAAGAATGGGCAGAACAGCAAACAGAAACATCTTAATGCCTTTCAGATCTATTCTGCTGTCTCTTCTTAGGAAGGAAATATGAAAAGAGGAGTTTGGAGCTAGGCAAAAAAATGAATGGAAGTATGAACAAATACTTCTGGTAATAAAGAGTGGCTACATAAGGGTAGTTCATCTTAAGGAAAATTTACATTGTGAGCAGGACATTGTGCACCAGGCGTGTCTGATCATGAGTTTTGGGTTGCATGCAGAAGACTCGTTATGTCCCACCGCATAGGCTGGAGCCACGTATCTGCTCCCACCACAGACCCCGGCAGAGGTTGTGTAATGAATTGTAAAATGAGAAAGTCTGATATTGTCTGATGCAAGGACTGGGATGAGATTCTTACTCCCATGCCTGTGCGGTTGGACAAATGGAGTGTTTCAAGGACAACAGCTTGAAAGCTTCAAAGACAGAGGAAGTCCTGCATGCTGTGCATGGTTTCTAAAATCTGAAGGACATCTGGGTCATCAGGACAAGGGCTTGCATTCTGGAACTATTCCAGAGCATCTTATCATCTACTTGATGCAAGGTCCTCAGGTCACGTGTGCAAATAAGACAGATTCTACCAGGTTTCCTTACCAGGATCTGCAGAGTAAAGTTTGTCTGCCCTATTTTCCCAGCTACCGATAGGTGAGCTAGCTCGATGTAACTAGTTAACTGTACTTTCATATGCTGTAGTTACACCCTCTTCTCGTTTAATATTAGTTAACACCTTGGAGTTCTGTTACCCTTTCTCATAAGTTAAAGAACCACGTAAACTGGAAGTGGTGACAAGGAATGTCATGGCTTTGGTGTTGCATTCACCTGAGAGGCAATGGAGGAGTCAAAACAAGGACTAAGACCTGATAGAGGTGATATCATTTTCATAATTCTAGCAGATAAAACTGAAACCATTGAACCAGACTTTGGAACTTACAGAAACTTGGGATAGGAATTGGCCTTTAACTAACAATTGGAACCAATTTCCTTGCACTGAAGAAAAGCCTTATTTGCTCCAGAACTGCTGTTTCTGTCCACTGAAATGGATACATAACACAATGCCAACATGCAGTAGGATTCTGTCTTTTTATCCCTCATGGAAGCAATACCTTTACCTTTCCAAAGCAAGAGTTTAAAGCTTGATATTCAGCTTACACAGTCTGTTTTGCTACTATCCAGAGCAGAGCAGTAGAACCAACAAAGTGTTAATTACTTGCAACTCAGCCAGGGGTGGTCTGAAGATAGTACGGTGGTCTGCCTATCTCTGTGTGGTACTATCCAAGCATAGGCAGAAAACCCCATTAAGTCCTGTTGAAAATCTTGGAAGGTCAAGTGTAACACTGAGAGTTAAGCTTACACTGGATTGTTTATTTTCCTGGCATCTTATTTTCCCCAGATGTGCAGTAGGAGATTATATTTTACTTTAAATTGCCTGATTAAAACATTCCTGAAACACTCATTTGGCATCCAGTCAAGCCCAGATGCTCTGTTCCTATCTTCACTGACCTCTGTGGTCAGAGAGAATCTGCATGGGAAAGTCTGCTCCTGAAAGCTAAAGTCCATGACCAAAAATGTTGGAGTGAAAAGTATGTCACAGGTAAGTGAATATACGGTTGATGAAGTGAAATACAACGTGTACTCTTTTTCTTCAGGGCCCAATGGGAGTGCCAGGATTTCAAGGCATCAATGGGATCCCCGTAAGTTTGCATCTGTAAATATAAATCACCAGAATTTAGTCACAACCCAAAGCACATAAGCACAATGAGACTGTCCTAGCACAAGCATAGTATATCTTGAAAGTGTTAGCTTCTCTCTGGAGGGAAATGGCAGCATTTGCTACTCTACCTGGTGATCCCAGGCTGTTTCATAAGAGGTTTGATTCCTTTTATGGGATGATAGGAAGTTGATCTGTATCAGCAAGTGAGCTGAGTTACATGGGAATCCACTGCATCATTGATAAGCTTTTCTTTCAGCACCATGTCTAGAAAACACCATGACATGAAGTCATAGCTTTGGAAGGGACCTCAGACAGTCAAGCAGGCATGATCAGCTCTGCTTCAGGCCATTTTTAGTATGTGTTTCCTAACCAATTCTTAAAACTTTGTAATGATGGAGACTAACTTTTGTGTTAGAAAAGCTTTGCTAATGCCTAATTCCAGTCTGTCTCCAGTTTAAACCTCTTAGTTCTCATCTTACTCATGATGAACACAGAGATTGTTTCCTTATGCTTTGCAGTAGCCTTCTTGTATGTGCTATTGCCAGGTTTCTCTCAGTCTTCTTACGATGTGAATGAAAACAGTGGTTAGAGCTGAGGCTCTCCAGAGTACTTGCTTCTCCAGTAGATGCTAGTGCTGGTTTAGATTTGAGCCCTTCCAGAAACCTATGATGGGAAAGAGACAATTGCTGCGTTTTCAGGTGATGGGGGTAGGTAACCACTTTCCCTGACCATTAGGACTGTTTTCTGTTATTCTTTAGAGCTTCAACATTCCAGTGTAGCTGGTTCCTTTACCATTCAAAATACTATGTGCTAAGAGTGTTTTGACCAGCTTTCTTTTGCTTTGGTTTTCCCCAGTGAGTTTTCCAAAGATTCTTACACGCTCTTTACCTCAGGGGAGTTTTAGCTGGGACAGCTTTTAGAAGTTGCCCCAGATGTCCTTGCTCTCTTTACTGGTATTAGAATTCTTCTTTTCTTGTTGACATTTTTCCATCTTCTGTGTCCTTGTGCCTTCAGACTATACTCATGCTCTTTCTCATCTTCCCTACTTTTTCAGCTGGCCAAGAGCTCCAACAGTTCAGCAGTGTTTTTCTTACTTCCTATCAAAAATGGGATTGTTTTGTTAGATTGGCTGAAAATGCATGGTTGGCCTTGTAAGAGCTTCCTTGGTTCCAGTTCCTTCCTGGCCGTGGTCCTTTTCTCCCCCTCTGCTCATCCTTCCCTGTTTTCTCTCCTGCTCTACTCCCTTGCTGCTATTTTTTTCTTGCCAGCCAGCTCTCTAGGTCTGAAGAGAACAAGCTGTTCCCATAATACTTAATTAAATTGAACACACTGTGGGAACACGCTGTTGTCAGGGTATTATTTCAGACCAGGCTCTGAAGAAAGGGGATTCCCAACAATGAGGGGAGGCAGAGATACAGCAACAGTCATTGCCAGGTAGTTGGCAGCGATGGGCATTCCGAAGAGGGTAGGGGAGGTAGATGAGAGGATCCAAAGCCTCCAACGTATGCAGATCTACTCTATCTGCTTTATTGTATTTTGCAGGTGGGTGAATAGGAAGAGGCAGCTTGTGCTGCTCATGAACAGCAAAGTGCTCACCACTGTGGCTCTTCTGTGCCACAACTGCCCGACAGAAAACAGGGGAAGGGGAAACTGGTTCCTACTGTTTACATTCCAACCACTGAAATAAATACTTCCTTTCTAGGGTGAAAATAGCCACCACCACCACTGCTTGAGAGAATATTCATACTTCTGCCAGTTGCATTTCAGGGTAGGGAGTAGCTTAGGTTTGTTGTGAAATGGCTATGAACATACACGCATTATATGGATGTGTAAAATACAGAGTAAAGGAGAGAGCACATGCGTGCTGGTAGATGTAAGATAAAGTAAAATATCTTGCTATCTCTGCACAAGGATTAATATCTAAACATGAAGAGAGGTTGGTTGTAGTATGCAGGTATGTCAGCGTGGGTAGGTATATTTTAATCAAGGCCAAATGACTGCAAGGCTGTGGTTTGGAGGGGAATCCCACTTGTGACCTTAAGGGAAGTGGTGTTCCACAGAGTTCCCCTGGGGAGGTGGAACAGGCTCCCCACGGCACCAAGCCTGTCAGAGTTCAAGGAGCGTCTGGAGGACGCTCTTTAGTCATATGATTTAGTGCTAGGTAGTCCTGTGAGGAGCAGGGAGTTGGACTCGATGATCCTTATGGGTCCCTTCCAACTCGAGATATTGTCTGATTCTGTAATCTATGTTGTTGCAGCTGGCCTGACTAATCCCTTTAACCTAATAAATACAGCAGCTATGTGTGTTTATTACTAGCCTTTTATGTCACGCTGTAGAAGAAACCCTCAAATCCTTAGCCCAACTCAGGAAGTTTACTTTTTCCTATAGGACAAGATTCAAGGACACCTCTGGCAAAGGCCTGAACTGGAGAGAAGAGGTGTATATAGCTTTTCATGAGCTGTCCAAGGAGTTCTAGAAAGAAGTACCTCTGTGAGGAGTGAGTGAGTCCTTGTCTGTACCATGAAAGCTAGAGCTTCATGGAGAGGCAAAGTTCTGGATTTTAGGATCCTCCTAGAGGAAACACAAGGACTTGGCGATGGCTTGACTTGGTGAAAAGGTCACTTTGCTGTAGCGATCCGTGCAACTGTTTATTCAGTTAATTTTGTGTTCACCCTTAATTGCATTTGTTCCTCTGTTTTAAATACTTGCTGAGCTCCCATGCTGGGATTGCCTTTGTGCTGTTTGAGTTTAGAAAAGAGTCCCCTTGGGATCACAGCATTAGTGTACGAGCAAGAATCGGATAAAGCAAGGGCCTAGATGAACAGTTCGTGTTTCCTTATCTGTCTCACAGGGAATGTCACCCTTTGTGCAAACAGAGAGCACAAGTGATCTCTCCAGCCTGTGTTTTAACTGCAGTCTGTAGACTAGTCACCCTGCCATGTATAAGAAAAGGCTGTAAAAGTCTTCTGCCTTAAGTCAGTTGAGGTGCCTGTGCTGAATTGGCACATCTGCCAAAGCAGGAATTAGAGGAGGTGAGAGCAGTGAAGCTATTAACCACTGGTTTTCTGGTCAAATCATCTCTTTAAATCAGTATTTTAAGTCCCTGGGCAAAAGGTTCATTTAGGCCAGAACTTCACAAGTCTCCAGGAAGTCACCTCTGGGTGCTCAGTATCTGCTCAGGTAAGGTTCTTAAGACACTGTGAACTCTAATGGCAGATTAGCTAGGATGTAGGAAATCCTGTGATTTTTTATTTCCTAAAGCAAAAGAGAGAGCATGTGTGTGCGCATGTGTGGCAGTCTGTCACGCTTTGGCTCAGAACCACAGACGTGGATGCATGATAGGGCCACAGGTTTATTTAATACACATAAGAAATCACTGTGATTTATTTAATACACTAAGAAATCACTGTGGTGACCATACTTTGTGTCCCCTCTTTGAGACCCCTCCTCACATAGGGAGAGGATACCAAAATCCTTTGGGCTGCTTACAGACTGTTGGTACAAGAGTTAGGAGATCGAAAGTGCTTCCCAGGACATGAGGCCATCAGTGAGCTGGCTGCCACAGGCTGGATCTTGGCCAGCACTACAGGATTAGCAGCTTGGCTCCACCTTATCTTGCTCTGAGGGGCAGATGTTGGCTGTTGAGCTTCACTAAACCTTGCAGCTGGTCACCTTATGTTGTAACCAGATACATGTGCACTTGTCCCACATGGCTTCTGGTTTTGTTGATGCTGTAAACAGGGTGAAAGACCTGGTAGCCATTGACCACTCTGGCCTCCCTCTGCAGTCACAGCCTGTCCCATCAGAGGCTTGCTGCTCCTGGCTGGGACATCCTGCGTGGATGCAGGAGGGTGGGTTGCCACTGATTTGTTTCAGCTTTGGGAACCAAATGGAATAATTTCTAAGAGACTAAAAGTGGCAATAAATTGGTGCTTCAGCCTTCTCCTGTTGCTTTACCAGGGCTTGGCAAGTCTCTGCTTGCACAACACACGTGGGTGTTTTGACAAATAAACTTTAATCATCATGGCAACTGGTACAATGTATGTAGTGGTGCCTGATGCTAATGCTTTGGGATGACTTCATTCCATGTCCTCAGGCTTTGTTTAATCTCAAATTTATACTTGTCTGAGTGAGCTGCTTTGGTCCTGTAGTGGAGACAAACTTCACATTCATTCAGTTTACACCTTTTTAATGGACAGAGAACAGATCTGGGCTCTCTCCCCTTCTCTCCATTTTGTTGGCACAAGTCACAGTGCAGGTGTCAAATGAGCTGGACCAAGGAACTCTTCTGGCTGAAAATTAACCCCATTAAGAAACAGAACAGTTACTTCTCTGCTGTGTTGGTTTCCTGCTCTGACTTGCCCATCCTGCCTGTGCTTACACCAGCAAAGGGAAGATGTAGGTGTGAGTAAGCAGGAGTGTGCGATGGCTCTCCTGGCAGCAGCTGAGACCAGCGATCAGCTTGAGTATTTACATAACTATGACCTAACTTGCTCTGCATCCTTGGGAAAGTCACTCTGCTACTGTGTACCCCCAGCTTTTCATGCGTAAAATGAAGATTATAGCATTCCCACATTTTGGAAGGCATTTTAAGATCCTTAGATATGAGAATTTACGTTACTGCAAAGTTCATCCTGAGTTTGGTCAGAGCATGTGCTATTGGCTTGGACTGGGAAGACCTTTAGCAACACAAATGTGTTTTGTTTTAAGTGTCAGGCTTAAAACATGAAGGATTGTTACCGTTCTGTTTTATCTCCATTTTATCCATGTTTGGTTTTTTTTACTCTCCTAGTGTGAGTCATAACTTGTTTAATGCCATATCTTAAGGATGAATCTTTAGGATCAAACAAAAGTACTTTTGGGATGAGTCAAGATCTGGGTGTTCTGAGCAGAGGGAGAGAACTGTCAGTTACTGATACTATCTCCATGAGTTTCATTTTTCTTCCTACACGAAACACTGTCTTTGAGTGCCACAGAACTGATTTCTGTGAGAAGGAGGCTAGAATAAGAAGCTGCTTGAAAGCTGGCTAGTGTGACTGACAGTTCTGCCTTTCTGTGTTCTGCCTACGCATACCCATATGACACTGAAGGAAAAGTAACTAAAGTCTCAAACTTTGATCTCCTTTGCACCAGTACTGTGCTGAGTGAACTCCAGTCAAATTAATTGAGCTATTAATTTGGGCAAGAGAGGTGTGAAATCAGAATTAGGTAGAATTGTATTCTACTCTGCTTGATTAATAATTGACCATTACAAACAATTTCTTCTAGTTTAATTAGATCTTTCTACCAGTTGCTTTGCCTAAAGTTTTAAGTTTAATACATCAAGAAAAGCTCTTTTGCTTGAATGGCCTGGTGCTGGAGCTGTAACATCTGTTGAACTATTAAAGGGAAGAATCCACACTGGAGAGGAAGAGAAGTCACTGAAACTTTAAGCAGATTGGAATTATAAATGCTCAGTATTGTTGAGTCTGCCTCTGCCCTTGTTTTCACATGAGCAGCTTCCATTCCTGATGTCAGGTGCACCCTTGCATGCTGTTTTACACTGTGTTACATGCCTTATGTTTCTGACTGTGTTGGGATGAGTATTACCCTTTCGGGACCTACTCATGCACAAATTATGTACTAAAGAAAATTATCCCTTGGAGAAAAAGGTAATCAAATGAATACAGCCAATGTTCTAGGATTGAAGCTTTGGGGAGGATACACAATGCTGGCTGAAGAAGCTTGTTCTGTTGCAGTCTGCCATACACTGAACTTGAGTGGGAGTTGTGTGTTTCTTTTGTTTTATGTTGCCATTTGGAAGCTATCCACTTTCTGAGGACAGTATTACTAATAAAATAATGCATCCTGTCAGTCATTCTCTCTTTCTCCCCTTTACACAGGGTCACCCTGGGCAACCTGGACCTAGAGGTCTGCCCGGCCTTGATGGCTGCAATGGTACCACTGGGAGTCCTGGTGTTTCTGGATCAGATGGGTTTCCTGGCCTACCTGGGCTGCCTGTATGTCCCAGCTTGAGTATGCTGTTTTGTAGTCACTAAGCCAGGAATTTGCTTTTCATGCCTTTGTTGGAAAAGTAACTCCCAAGTACTTAGGAAGAATCCTAGCGTTGTTAGAGCTCAGTATCATTGTCTCATAGAAATCCCACTCTGAGGGTAAAGTGGAGATCCTGTGAATCTGTTCATCTGCACTCCCCTCTTACAGGGAGTGGTGCTTTTGAGACCAGTTCTGTCTCTATTTGTCAGGATGAACTGTTTTTGGAGACACCCATTTTTCTCCATTGGCTGTAGAGGACGGCCACTCTGTACGCTCTGTTTCAAGAGTGTAGGATTAGGTACAAGAACTGCACTCTTAGATGCTTTTAGGAATTATAGCCTTTTATAATAGTTCATGGTTATTTTTGAAGTGTGAGCAAAAAATGTTTGACTTTAAATTATTTGAGTATTTGTTCACATTCAAAGCCTGGTCTTAAAAACACAGGTTGGGTGACTTGAAATTCATACGATGTTGGAAAATACTCTGAATAGTGTTGATACATAGAGGAACAAGAGGGCTGCCACATGTCAAACAGATTGAAATAGGAGCTTAAAAGTTGTTGAAGACCTAAAATAAAAGGGCAGTCTGATCTAAACAGGATAATACCAGAGAAAATGCTTGCAGAACCTTATTTTAATAAAGCTGCAGTGAGTTGTAAGTTCTCATACTAACACAGCTTCTCTGACAAAGCTGCAGTGGCACTTCTGCAGTTTACTGGAGCCAGGAGTTTGCCTTGTCCATTATGCTGAATATAAAGGCTTTCAAAACTGAATCAGTATTTTTTTCCTGGAATTTATTTGTGACTTGATTTTTTTGTTGTTTTTAATCAGGGTCGCCCTGGCCCAAAAGGACTTAAAGGAGAACCTGTTTTTGCTCAAGGCAGCCTGAAAGGAATGAAGGTAAGACTTGTCATCATGTAGGAAAAGATGAAGTACAAGAAGCACATTGATGTCCTGCAGGTTGCAGGGCTGATGCTGCAGATCAGGTTGCTCATGATGTTAGACATGGCTGTCCTGGGTATGTCTGAATACAGAGCTGTGAAAAGGTGGAATAAATCTACAAAGGGTTTAGTATCTCTTGTAGGACTGAATACCCCAATATTTAGCAGCCTCATGCTTTGTTAAATACTGAAAATATTAAGAAATGTTCTGTCATATGGCTTTGGTCAAAATTAAGAACTTTTATAGCATTCTACCCACATTATATATGCTTAGTAGTTGGTAAAAGTTAGAGATCTTTATTTCTTCAATATTTATGGGAAATAGAGATAATTTGGTATAATAATGCTTTTACATATTTGATATGTATATTGGTTTTGTAATGAAATCTTTTGTAGTGTATTTTTCAGTGTTTTTACAATCAATGTATTTTTTTCTGCATACCACTTTAGTTTCTCTTGTTACCCATCAATAAAATGGTTGTAATTTCTCTGGAGTTTTGGAACCTCTCCATTACCTAATTTAAATGTGGAAGCACAGGTGTAAAAATATTTTCCTGTATACATTTGATCTAATATTAACTAACAGCAAATACTTCTATTCATACAAAATTTAATGTTCCTTATAGTTTGTTGCAATAACATGGTGTAATTTTCACTTGTGCATTTATAATTTTTAGGGAGAAAATGGTCTTCCTGGATTGGATGGAATTTCTGTAAGTTACTTAATTTGGGGAATAATGATTTTAAAGAATACTAAGTAGGTAATTTTTCTTGTTTGGTTCTCAAGGGTGCTTTTCACATTAGTGGGCCATGTATTTACATGTGTGATACCATTAGCATGAGCAGTTCCAGATGTGTGGTGGTATGAGTCAATCCACAGTAGGGTAGAAGGACTCAGATTTTTGCTATTATCTGTTCACTTTTTCCTTATTCAAATCAAACTCCATTCTACTATTGAATTCTATTCCTTTGATTTTCAAAATACATCTAATAATACGAAATGGTTTTATTACAGTATTTTAACTGGCATACTTAATTAGGGGATATTGCTTAATGTTTCCTGAGACTCACGTTGTTGGGGTTTGATAGGGTAAGTGCTACACATTCTGTATTTGCCCTATGTTCTTCCTGCAGGGTCCAAAAGGTTTTCCAGGTCCAATAGGTTCTGCAGGCCCTATAGGATTACCAGGTTTGCAGGTAAGAGACCTCACCTGTTGCACTTGTTGAACAGTTCAAAATGTTTGCAGTTTTCCTTCCTTGTGTTTGTCATTACAACGTGTGTGTGTGTGCGCATCTAAAAGGACTGAGCACAGCTGACTTCAAGCACAGAATACTTGAACTTAGATAGTGTAATCTAATCACAAGAGAGAAGGCTTCTCTCTGGAGTAGTGCTCAGGTCAGCAATCATGAATGAGGGCTCCAGCAAGTCCTAGAGTGCTGTCTACAAACACTACATTATACTGTAGTGAGCACTTCCTTATTTTGGGAGTAGAGGGATTATGCTGACCTTTGCATGTTTGGAACCTTTGTCATCACGAGATGTGCTAAAGAGATGATTTTTCAAGGTGCTGCTAGAGTTTCCAATGGGCAGAGGTAAAAACAAACCACGTGTTTGTTGCTTTTGAACTGAAGTTTGCTTTTAATTAACCACAGCACCAAAAGGCTATGCTGTCTATTAAAGACTTGAAGATCATGTGTATGGGTTACTTTTGCTCTGGGGCAAGAGATGCAGGTACCACTGCAGATCCCAGCATTGCTCCAGTTGTATGCCTCCTAATGAAGTCAAAAGAAATAAAATCTTGGTCTTGTTCACTTTTAGGGTCCAGTGGGTCCCCCTGGGCCACCAGGTCCAAAAGTAAGTACCTACCTGCCTTCTTTCTACTCCTGATCATTGGCTTTTTTAACAATGCTGTAGGCATAGATGGTGCTGCTGTTGTTTTATTGCTTGCTCATCATTGGTGGTTTTCTCTCCTAGGGTAACATGGGATTAGGCTTTCAAGGAGAGAAAGGAGAAAAGGTAGGTGAATTTGTTCTGTTATGGGAAGAGCATGAACTAATACTCTAGTGTTCCCATCATAGCTTGGTCCTTTAGAAAGTGGGTAGGTTCTAGCATTTCCTTCTTTTTCTTTTCTTCTCTTTGACCGATTAACAGTCCAAATACCAGAGAGTCTTGCTGGTTCCTTACGTGTTGGTACACCACAAAATGATGGGAGCTTGTTTCTGGATGAAGAGAGGAAGGGGGAAAATGTCATTTCAGTTCAATATTTTCATGGTTATGGAGAAGTGATGTCCTTTGATATCTTGAATCTCTGTCTTTCCATTTCTTTGGACCCTCACCTCTTGTATTGAATTATTCTACTGACTTCATTCTTTTTGGCTTTCAGAATATTCTTTGGGTCAACTGATGTGTAATTTATAGTCTGAGTATCCTAAATGGTGTCCTGCAGACTGTGTGAGAATTTACACTGGCATAATGGGCTTCTCCAAGTTCTCAATCTGGGGCTTAATTCACTTTACATTCTACATCTCTAATTGTTTATTGTTTTCTTTCATATTCGTCCCCAGAGTTTTTTTGGAATGTTTTCCTCTTCACTTTAATTTTCAGTCTGATCTTATGGCTTCCATGACCAAAGTCTGTGCTAACATTCGGAAGCACAGATATTAAATATGTGGATATAATTAGAGTGGCTTTTTCTGATTCAAATCAAACATGTTCTGCCTATGTTAATAGTTTTCCCTTTTGCCAACAGGGTGATGTAGGGCTGCCTGGCCCACCAGGTCCCCCACCATCCACTGGAATACTGGAATTCATGGGATTTCCAAAAGGGAAGCAAGGAGAAAAGGTCTGTAAATGCAATTTGCAAACCCTCCCCCTCCCCATGCTTCTTCATTCAAGGCTGAATGAAGTTAGTAGACAGTGAGGGCTGTTATATTTCTAAATCAAAATTATTTTCTGTACCAATTTAATCTGCTAGGTGGCTATTGGATAAAAACTTTCTTGGCTCAGAGCATTGCAGACCACTGGAGAATGCATACCTCTCAGATGGAGAAATCTGGAAGCTATTTTAAGAGTATCATTATTAATACTAAAACAAAATGAACTGTATTTTGTTTCTGTTTGACCTGTAAAATTGTGTCAACTGAAGCAAAAACCCTAAATCCATTTAGCAAAACAAATAGAAGGCTCCAGCTTTGGCATGATGTTCGCTACTGAAATAATCAGATTTCTCTCCTTTACTTTGTTATCCTGGCATTTAGAGAGATACATATTTTTAGCTCATCAGTCTTTTTTATAGAAGCTGTATAGATCTTGAGTTAAACATCCTTTACATGCATGAAATTTAGGTATACTGAATTAATGTGGGGCCTATACGGACTGGTTTGGAGCCCAGTCTGAGCTTGCCTAAACCCCTGCCTAAGTCATGAGAGATACTGTCTTGCTTGGTGGAGTTGCATTAGTGTGAGGTGATATTTAAACAAATGCCATTCCTTTTGGCTCACTCTTGAATTTGTAGGCAGGACTGTGAAGACATTATTTTATCTTATTATGTGTTATTTTGTTGGTTTTCATTAAGTATCATGTACGTCCCAATTCCCTAGATGACATTATGAAATGCTTCTAGTTTGACTTCTAGCCGTGGAGGGCAGTAGAACAACTCCCAAGTAGAGGTCTCTAAAGCCATGAGATGTAGTAACAGAGAACTTGTTCCATGCACCAGCACTGTGCTGAGGGACGCTATATCTGACACATGATGACACAAGTCAAGTATACTTGCTGAGAAATAAATTACAAGGCCTTACTTTAGGAGTCAGGAGCATGATGGAGGATTGGGGAAAGGCACAGTGATTTATTGTGTTTACCTCTTCGCCTTGTCAGGGTGAGCCAGGCCCCCAAGGATTCCCTGGAGAGAAAGGATTGCCTGGCATCCCGGTAAGACAGAGGAGAGTTTTTGATACCTGCCTAATGTGATTTAGGTGGTACAACACCCTGTGAATAGCTTACAGGGTCTCTACAGGAGTTTCTAGGCACCAGAATACATTGAAAATCTGATAAAAACGTCCACAAGACTTTTTGAAGAGTGTAACTGCAATCTGATCGTTTTCTATCCTGGAGATACAAAGAAGATAACGTCCTACTACCGAAAGAAGATAATGTTGTCCTACTACAGACGTTACAAAGCAGCTGTTATTTCAAGTGCATGTAATTTGCAGTTTAGAGACCTGCAAGTAGACGTACCCTTTACGTGGCCACTTGATGGCAGTGTTTGTTGATGAGCTAGACATATTTAAAACAAAAATTAGTCTTTTAATTATGTCTAAACATATTCTTGTTATTTTACTTTAAAGCTGTGAAGCACATCTGGGTCTTTCTGTCTAGATATATATCCAGATTTAAAATGGGCTGTTTAACATTAGTGCTCGTAAACTTAGCAATGTGTAGTGTCTTCTCTGTATGAATCAAGAACAACAGTTTATCCCTGGATTCCAGAGAGTTATTTCCCAGCTTATAACCTTTTGTAAACACAGGTTATTTGATCAGTTTAGGGAATAAATATTTTGTGGAACTTCTGACTAATAAGATAAATTGTTTGCCAGTTCCTTCAATGTACAGATGTTTTTAGTAGGACGTGCAAGAGAAAACTGTACATGAAGCACAGTTTATTAGCCTTTCTGGAAAGGTGCCATTATCTGCATGTTTAGCTTTATGCATCACAAGAGGCCCATTTTAGCTGGTGGGGTTGAACATACGTGTGAATTTAACCATAGCTATAAGATATTTCAAGATTGAAGCCTGAAAATTGCTTAACTACTGTAACTCTCCTGAAATTAAATCCTGGTGTTCTCTCTCTGGGTTTGATATTTCTTGCTGACTTGGAAAAACACCAAAGGTTTTCAATTGTTGAGTGTGAAAATGCTTGGTTTGTGTCATTCGTAGGCTTTAGAAATGGAAAAGAGTGCTCTGAGCAGTCCCTTGAGCTGCTGCTGTTAAGAAATGAGATTTGAAATAATTTCTAAATCTAGCATATAATACAGAGTAGCAGTGGGCAGAACTTTGCTGTTTATAGCATGGGGTTACTTGCATTTGCTGCTGAGAGATCTGCCATGGTTTAAGTGGATAGAAGTCATGGGAATGAAGAAGATAATGTACTGCACATACTGCCGATTTGGTTGGTACAGGTTTTCTTTCTGGACCAAAAGAGTCCCAGCAGAAGCAGTCTTTCCCCCTTGTCTCTCTGTTAATAGATGGGTTTGTGCTCATTTAGTTGTAGGGCTGTGCCATTCAATTCCAAATATATCTCAGATTTAACATTGATATTTTTCCCCAGGGCTTTGGAGGTACTGGAGAAAAAGGAGAAAAAGGCGTGCCTGGCTTACCAGGTGGCAGGGTAGGTAATTTTGCAAAGTCCTTAAATGCTCGTTCTCCAACACATGAAATGGGCCTTTCATCAGCAGAACCATTCCCAAAGCATGTAGGAGTCTCAGACATAGGACTCTATCCCATAGTAGTCAGGGCCATACAACAACAGAACCAGGAGGTCCAAATGAAGATAATAAAGGGGCCTTGCAGAGGTTTTAGGAAGCTCTTAACCAGTACCAGATCAGCCATGAGAGAACACAGCTATATGTGGGAGAAATGGGCAAGCTGGCAATAGATGTTGGTCTAACCAGTCTCTGGGAGTTAACAGCATGATCAGTCCCATGCCAGTCATAGAATCTTCAAAGCACCATGACCCTGCAGAGATGGGCTTATACACAACAGGAAGACCAAGGCACTTTGTTCTGTATGTGTAGAGTAAATTGTCAAGTTACAAAGTCTTGATTGTTTCTTGTGGCTTTATAAGTGCAGACTTCCTAGAAGGTTGGGACTCCATGACTTACTTACCTGGAGCTGCTGATTAGAAAGACAATGGCTGAAGAAGAGAAGCCTTTTTGTATCAGTTATTCTGCTGAATTCTCTCGATTATGATTGTTAGTATTTGGAAAATATTGTATGGAAAGTCAGTGGTAGCTTCTCCTTTTGAAAGTTTTACCTTTGCATTCTTTGGTGCTGAGATATTTGGAGCCTGATACAATAAGACCAGATTGAGATGGAGCTTCTGAGAGTTAATCTTTTTTTGCTGTTCCCAGGGTCTTTTAGGACTGGATGGATCCGATGGGATTCCAGGGAGAAAGGTGAAATTTCTTTTATTTTTTAACTGTACTTGAAGAAGCCACCCAGGTGCTTAAGATCTACTGACTTCCTTATGTAGTGGCTTCAAGTTCTCTGACAGGTTAATGCATCTGCCTTATTAAACTAGTGAGAGCTAAGTCGAAGGTCCATGTAAAACTCTGTATCCCTTTAACTGTTGAGTTATCCCTGGATGTCTAGAGGACCACCTCCACAGACTGGAAATTGTAATTCCCTCCTGGAATAATCCAGGTTCCTCAGCAGTACTGTGTATAGTCTGTATTGGGGCCTACAGCTGTCTGAGACTTCTGAATCACAGGCAAGCTCTAAAGTTAAGGTTCTCTGCTCCAGAGCTCTTGGAATATCCCATTTTGCCTGCAGTGGCAGTGTGATATGCAGTCCGTATTGGGCCAGGTTGAGTATGTCACCCAACAGAGAACAGTGTATCACTTCTGTGTAATTTCTAGTCACACAACCAGAAGGGGAATTTTGGTGTCCCTGAGAATGCTGCCAGGAAATGAAGAGCTGGATCTCCCTGTGTCACTTTAAATGCTTTGATTGGAAGGGAATATTGTGGAAGGGAAAGTGTGGGCGACAAGGAAAATAATGTTCTAGACTCCTCACTCCACAAGCGTTCCCACAGTTGTGTGAGAACTCCAAGGTCTCCTGATTTGGACCTCTTCATGCCTGCTCACCAGTTCTCACCATCTTTGCAGCACAAGGAGACTTAAAGGAGATCCTGTATTTTGTGAGTGTTGACAAATCAGTTTTCTGTTTAATTCTTCTGCAGATGTTTGGTAGGACAATGAACTAGGTTTGTGATTCAAGTCTAGGTGCTGCAGATGTCTCAGCTAACGAATACTGCCGTCTTATTGTCTCACTGTGTAATAATGTTCCCCTGTGTGACTTCCCAGGGTCATCCAGGTCTTCCAGGCTATCCAGGACTGGATGGAGTTGAAGGCATGAAGGTAGCTTCTCGCATGGAAATACTGGATTTCCATTTCTGTGCTATATATAGGCAATATGTAGCAAACATTTGCTGGGTATCTCACAGTGTGGGCAGTCAGACATCTGGAAACTGAGTGGGAAATGGTTGGGTAGTAGTTTGTTGTGGAAAACACTTAACTGCTACCAAGATTTGTATATGTTGGCATACATGTGAAATGCTAGTACTGAAGGCCTTTTTTTTGTGCAGAGCACGTGGAAGTAGTAGTAATACAGGTTTATGGGCTGAAGAGTATTACTGGAAGAAGCAACAACGTGTACACTGCCTGGTGTTTATATTATAAATCTGATGGCAGGTTGGACAATGATCAGTGATTTGGACAGATTTTGCACTTGCTATTTCAAAGAGGATTCAATACTGTTAGAGGAAGGAATGCCTTCAGATAGTTGGATAGCAGCAAACACTTTCTCTGAAGCAGTCCTCAGTTTCATCTGACAGGAAGTAGGTCAGTCAGGACAGCAGATGGTGGTTAAGAGCAGAACAAAGTATATTCTTCACCAAGACAAAGAGTAATGGTTAGTCAGGGAATGACTACAGACATTGCTACCATAATACAGTCTGTTTCTGGACAAGCAGTCTTCCCCTCTATCATCCATCTGAATGCAGCGTGAATCTGTTTTCTTCTACAGGGTGAATTAGGTGACACCGGTCCCCCAGGCCCTCCTATTGTTATTGACAGGGAAGGTTTAGTCATTTCAGGTACATGTTTCCATTTTGTTTTGCAACTCCTCTAAAGCCCTTTTTCTGAGTCAGCTTTCCCTCTTACCACTTTCCCAAGGGTCTAACTCATTCCTTTTACTTTTTCTTTCATTTCTGTGTTGTTGGTATACACATACCATTGTCCCATGTTTATAGCTTCAGAATTTGCAATGAAACTTTCATCCCCACACTGCAGAATGATATATTTCAAGGCAGGACAAAACTTAGTGCCTAGGAGGCTGACTGTGAGAGCACAGAGAAGTGCTATATAGTTACCTGTGGGTTTACTCACACTTGCAAAGCCCTGTAGCGACAGGTGAGGGATGAAATGGCAGGTGATAAGGTGTCATTGGTTGCTCGAGGTTGACTCAGGAGATCAGTCTTGTTCGGAAACATCCTGAATGACCAAGCAGCCTTTTTTCCATCTGGATTTGTCTATCCCACCTTGCCCTTGTAGTCATCATTGTGCTTGTAGTAAGCGTGGGTAAAGCCCTTCCCAAATCTTCGTTCGCAAAGCCAAGCCATCAATCAATGAAAAATGGGTTCCTTGTGTAGCATAGAAATAGGTATTCTGAATGTCATTCTGCTTTTATTTGTCATACAATGTGGTAAGGATATTGTTGAGAAAATGAGCTTAAATAACACCGGAGCTGAATGAGACCTGGATGGGAACAGCCTCTGAAGCTATAAAGGTAAGGGGACAAATTATATGATCTCTCCTATTCTTCCTCCTTCACTTGCAGTCAAGTTTGAAACAACCTCTAACAGGTCAGAAGGAATTCTCCCATTGTTAACGTTGACTAACAGGCAACTGCTAACAGCTTTACAGCCTTTGCTGTCTATGAGATCAGTAGTTGACCGAACAGTCTTTCAGCAGAAATTCTCATGAGATTTTCCTTCTTGTTTTCTGTATTTGTCTAATAGGTGCCCAGGGTGACCCTGGAAACCCAGGAATACCTGGTCCTCCAGGAGATGAAGGGATCAGTGGATTACCAGGCTTTCCAGGAGCTCCAGGGTTTCCAGGCTTGGAAAGAGGTAAAGCAGCTGCTGACAGTGCCCTTAGCAGGCTGTTTTCTGTGTTTGTTGCTGAGAAGACTCTGGGTAGTGACCTGGAGATGGTGAAGGTATTGGTGGAGCAAGCCTCTCCCTGCTTCTTCAGCTGCCTGATTTGCAGACTGCTCCGAATGTCTGAGACATAGCAGGCAGGAATATACACAGGGAAACCAAGTGGAACGGAAGCAGAATTAGTCCCACAATAATTACAGCCCAAGTAAGGCTTCAGGTGTGAACACGTGATATAGCAGCACACAGAGGAGGTTGATTCTTTGATTTCCATTTCAAATGAGTTGATTGGCAGAACCTTTCCTATATTTTAAATAACAGCAAATGTTTTTGAAATATATTTTTAATGACTTTTCATATTTGCAATTTGGCTAGGAAAAAAATGCTGTAGGTGGAACCCGTTTGTCCCATCAAAGGTTTCACGTGAAAGTTCCTGTTTCACTTGAATGTCATCTGTGAGCTCCTTGCCTGCAATGATCCAGAGACTAGGTGTTATGCAGGATATTATCTCACTCAAAGATTAATAAAATTCAGTCTTATATAGTTCATTGTCTGACTGATCAGTGGGACTTAAATGCAGCCCTGTGAAGATTTTCCAGTTGATGCCTCTGATTAGGGAGTTTTCCTTTGCGTGCAGTTATAAATTGTTCTGTGCCAACATGAGTGCAGTTCAGGGCACAGCAGTTACTCATTAAATACTAGAATGTGTTTGCTGATGGAGAGCTGATCGTTGTGTCATTGTTATCTAGATGGAATGGGTCCTGGAGGGTCTCCAGGAATTCCAGGTGTGAAGGGTGAAGTGGGAGAACCAGGAAGAGCAACGATTGGATTACCAGGCACTCCTGGCAGAGGTGGTTTACCAGGTCTGCCGGGAGCACCAGGATTGCCCGGATCACCACGTATGTGTATTTTATTGTCTATTTTCCTGCTGGATTCAGAGTGAAACAGGACAATAATTTATAAAGTTATTTATTTGCCAGTGAGGATTATTCATCTGTAAACCTCAAATGTTTGATTGACGCCTTACTGTGATCGTAACTCACAACTTTAAATATATGTATCAGCAGCCACCCCTCTGAGGTAAGAAAATACAGCTGATTATTGTCTGGGGGAGCGTTTCCTGAGAGACCAGGGCACAAGGCTGTGTGGGCACAAGTTATGACACAGAGGACATTGAAGGTCTGCAGTACTTTCCTACTGGCTTAGATAAAGACTAGACCATGATCTTATGAGCACCTAGGGTATATGTCTAGTCTTGTGAGTAGGTTATTTGGGTACCAGGAGTCAGGTAGGATGCCTGAAGAGACAGTTTTCAGGCCTAAGGAAATGTGTTTTCATTTTTTACATGTTTTGTGATTGGATTAATTATGCATAGATTTGTTTTCCTCAGAAGCTGAGTATTACATTAAAAGGGTTGATTTTACACAAACCCTGTGTTTTACCCTCTGGCATAAGCTGAATTGAAACAACCAGTTCTATTTTTGAGAGCCAGCCTTTCAAAATTGGGCACACTCCCAGACAGAGCCAACGAGCATGGTCTGAAATGATTTTCTGTGGAGAAGAAATAAATGCTCTCTTATCAATAACTGTTTGCTAGTCAAATACAGCTTGTTTTTCTGCAGAGTCTGTAAAGCTCTTGTAGCTGGTTTTAGCTGATGGTTGCAGTTTGTTTCATGGAACATCAGATGGGTGCTGGTCAGCACTCCATCTTACTGCTGTCACTGAGGGGAAGGGTTTTCCCACCCTGTAGTTTTAGATTGTTAGATCAATTTCCACTGCTGTTTCTGTGAGCTCATGTTTCATTCTATTCAGCATATAAACAGATGTAGAAAATAATGCTACAGCTACAAAGTGAGGAACAGGGCCCTTAACCTTTTTGCCATTTAGTCTCTTTCCTGAGCTGCAGCAACTTAATGCTTAAAGGGTAGTAGCCCTGGGGATGGCTCTGCCATGCCAGAAGCAGCAGAGACATTGCTCACATGTGATAGCTTCTGTGCCAGCAAAAAGGGCAATAGCCAGTCATTGCAATAACCAGTATGTCCCCTCAGCTTCTATCCATATGAGTCTCACTGTCTCCCAGAGCTGTAAAGGCACATCTGCATGAACTGAGTCATTTGCTTTTCTTTATGCAACCTATTCACAGTTTGGTGAGTTCTTCAGCCAACTGTTAATTCTTTAAAGTGCAGTGGAAGAGGAGTAAAGGAATGAAACTTGCATCCACATTTTTTGCTTTTCTGCATGAGACGCTATAAGCAAACACAGGGCAAAGGACTGCAGCTTGTGATGCCAACCCTGGTTCCAGCTCCTCATCTAACTTCCGCAGTTGCAGTTTGATCTGGTGCCATTTCTGTTGGTTGCATAACTGAAATTGTGAGTAATGAATGAGCTGGAAATCCAGCCTTCTCATGGCTTTTGCTTGCCTTCTTTTTACATATAGGCCCTTCATTCCCCCCTGACATGATCCTGGATGGAAGGACTGGGGCCCCGGGGGAACCTGGACAAAGAGGGCTACCAGGAGCTTTGGGTCCAAAAGGGTATAAAGGTAATTGACTCGTGTTTTGGAAAGAGCCTTTTAGCAGTCACTGGGCCTCAGAAAGATATTTGCATGTGGCTAATATCCTAAGGGATGAGGTGGAAGTGTCTTTATGACAAATCACAGGAGGCTGAGATGGATTAAAAGAGCCAACAGCCTTTACAATTTAGAGTTGTGCCCAGCACTCCCAGCAAAATTCTATTTCCTACTTCCTACTCTGCTCAGGCAAATGGCAGATAAACATCTCATACCCAGAAAATTAGCCAAGTAAGTTGTACTTTAAAGTCATGAGATGTAATGAGACTTGGAAATAAAATCTTGTTCACTGCTTTTTGCTATATAGGCTGGAAGTGACAGAGAAACTTAATTTTATTCTCCCTTGTGCTAAAAATGATGAGACTTTGGGTCCCAGCGTGTGACAGAACCAGTGGCAAAAGCCATGATGATGCAGATAGCACTGTGCTTTGTGATTGTTTGGATCCAGTTACAGTTCAGGGAAATACAAATGCATCCAGGTGAAGGTTATTGTAACCTACTGTGAGTGGGAGTATGGATTTGCTTTCTTTAACATACAACCTTTTTAAAAACATGCAAGACTTCTGTCCTAAAACTTTCCTAAACCCATCAGTTTAGGAGACTGATGGGTTTAGGAGAGTCTAAACCTTTGGGAAGAGGTAAAAGAAGTGCTGAAGTTGATGCTGTAAATGTTGATTTGATGGTAGGCATTGCATAGAAATTAACCTGGACAAAACCTGGGCTCCATTTGCCTGACACATCACCTGAGCAGAGTAGGCACAAAATCAAATCATATGAGAATGGCTTTGTCCTAATGGAATGAAATACTGCTTTTGGAGCTCTTGCAACTGAAAAGGAGTTTTATTCAAATGAAACTGAATTTGGGGTGTTCACTGTATTTTCCAGGAGAGCCAGGTGATTGTGCTTGTGATGGAGGAGTTACAAGAACTGGTCTCAAAGGCATCTCAGGTCCACCAGGTCCATCAGGAAGCCCTGGTTTGCCAGGGGCTAAAGGCATTGGTGGAGACCCAGGCAGTGTGGGTGCACCAGGACTGCGAGGCCCTCCGGTAAGGCAGGAAGAGTTTATATTGTTGGTCATGAATTGGAGGAGGAAAAGTGCCCCTGACAATTGCAGGTGTTGATTGTAGTTAAAGCAGAACACAGTTCTTAGCATAATTTCTTGTTTGGATCTTTAAAAAAGAAAAAGGACAAACCAGAACTGATCTGTGAAAAGAAACTGAAAGGAGAGAAATTCTCACCTGTAAAAAATGGGAGAAAAAGCTGTTCTTAAGTTCTGAGAACTGTGTGTTTAGCAGTCAAGAGAAAAACAGTAACCGTTATTCACCTCAGGGCTTCTTGGCTAATAGACATACATGGATTAGACCCAGGGTCTTCCTAAATAAGGGCTGGCTGGGGAAGCAGATCTACAACTGCCTGGAGAGAAGACCTGGAAAATCAAGTGGTGGGATCTTTCCACATCATTGCTCATAGCTGTAAAAACTGTGGCCTAGATGCAGTCTCCTTCTCAACTGCTGTATGCTATGTGTGTTAGTGAGAGTTGAGCTGTGGTTTTATGAAACGGCACCCGTAACAAACAGGATTTTCCAAAGTGCTGAGCATTGCTCACTGGCAGTGTTTACTTTGAAAATCATAGTCCACAAAGATACCAGTCTTTTGTCTTCGGAGCATCCTTATCAGCATCAGTAAATGCAGCACACCAAGTTACAGGAAAGAAGACTCAGTGCTTTCTCTGCACGTTCATATTCCTGTTGGTTTATCTTTTGGTCTGTAGGCTTCAGCTGGTCAGCAAGGTCTTCCAGGCCTTAAGGGAGAAAAAGGGGACTCGACCTATGCAACAGGCAGAGGTGCTCCTGGGGACCGCGGTGCAACAGCACCCAGAGGACCTTCAGGCATCCCAGGAACTCCTGGCAGGGATGGACTTCCAGGCTTGCCAGGCCCACCAGGCCCTCCAGTAAGTTCACATTGGTTTAGCAGCAGTGCTTCAGAATTCACATAAGGATCAGAGACAATAGAAAAGGCCTGATTAGCCTGTGGTAAGTCTCCAAATACATAAAAAGCTCACAGTCCCTGTGCACAGATTTGTCTTGGTCAGGATTAATAATTGGCATTCATTATGCCTTTGGCTGCCCACTCAAAAGATAAACTTCCAGTACTGGAGTAGACCCTAGTGCTGGTTTATGTTGTGTCCTAAAAAATGAATGAAACTGTAGGTGTAATTCTGAGTCAAATCTTGGAATAAAAAAATCATACCAGAATCTTTCTTGTTAAAAAGAAATTAAATGTCTTTCAGAATATGTAATATTTATATTTTGGCAAAACCAATATAAAATATTATATTTAATAGTCACTGAGTTTTCCTGCATTTTGAAATAATGATGGATAATGTACAGTGGTTTCTATGTACCTTCCCAGGCCCATCTGAACCTTGCACAGAACCAGCTAAACTCTAGTTAAAATGATAGCTGTGGTATCCTTTTGCATCTCTTTGACTTTCAGCCGTCATTGTCTTTGCTGTGCACAGGGTGATGGTGGGCTAGGTTTCCCAGGTGAAAAAGGACTGCCAGGATTACCAGGCTCCAAGGGGCATCGTGGAGAAATTGGTTCTCCTGGTGTTGGATATCCAGGTGCCAGTGGACTCCGTGGGCCACCAGGTGACCCAGGGGTGGATGGGCTTCCAGGACAAGCAGGTCTTCCAGGCCCTCCAGGTAGGTGTTGCTGGGTCTGCTCTTAATTTGGAGAGGTTCAAAGCTGCTACAAGTCAAATGGCACTCAGCTTACTGCTATGGTTGTACCCAGGCCAGAAGATTGTGTTAAAGATTTCTCTTTAAATTAATTGAAACTGGTTTGTGAGCTCCCCAGACCTCACACAGCAGTCACAGCTTTCTCAAGTTGTCATGCTCAAGAGGACACAGATAATAAGCAACAAATACTGAATGGTACTCAAATTCTCGGTGTTGGATGGAGCTACCCACTGCCTACTGCTGGAGCACCATTTAGCACTAACAGCAGTTAGGAAGACTGATAAAATGACCTTTTTAAAAAGCACAACCTACTTCCTAGATACAACTAGTGACTCCCTGGTGTCTGAGACTTGGGGAGCATTATTCAGAACTGCTGTAATAGTTCAGTTCAGAACTATTCAGTTCAGAGCTATTCAGTTCAGAGCTATTACTGAAATAGGAAGAGGTCCAGATTTCTTTAAACTGTAGCACACTGTATGTATGAACAGGCACTGGGGAATGAAACATTGCCAGGATAAGCCGGTCTGGGGGGAGTTCAGTTATGACTGAAGCTGATTGCTTCCTGAGGCACTACAGCTTGTTCAGTTGGTACGTCATTCCATGTACCTAAAGCATACCATAATGACAAGTGATAAGTAAATACAGGTTTGATAAGGTTTTGTTTTCATTCTCAAAGTGATTTACATTTGATTTACAAAATCAAATGTCTAAACATTAATGGGAAATGTTTTCCTAACAAAATTACTACAGAGAGCAAGACCTAATGTCTTGATTCCATGTCAGCCATTTAAATGTAATTTAAGATAAACAGTATTTTTTTTTCTTTGCTGCTGCTGGTTTTCAGTGTATTTTCCATTCTATGTATACTTTGGCTTCTAGATTCATAATTCTCTCAGTATCAATAATGCAGAATCAGTAATATATTTGCAAGCATAATATTGTTGCATTGGTTTCTGGGCTGATAAACTGATGTTCTGAATTCAGAAACCTTGGCAGTAAGACCGTGGCAGTATAAGGAGTTGGTGGAGGGAATTTAAACCCAGAGAGTGAGGCCGGAATAGCACTGGGAAGGTTGCACAGACATGCTGGGTGGCGTGTTACCTCACATCAGTGTCATGCTGGGTTGTTGTTAGGATGGGGTGAGGAGACAGCTAGTGTTAATGTCCCCCTGGAACAGTCTGCATAAGCTTTTTTTTCAGGTCACATGCTAAATGCTAAAGGCTTTACTAATTCATAGCTATGAGTGCATACATCTTTGTTTGGTAAATTGCCTCCTACAAAATCCACCTCAATTAAAACTGCATTATAAGATAAATAAAAGTAAAATGCTCTATGTGTGATATGAACTCTAGATATTCTGAGAAGCACATCAGAAGCCAGCTTATTATGAATGCTACATCAAAGCTTTGCTAGCACTGAATGGTCCTTTGTAGAAGAGTATCTATAGTCAAAGGATGTGGGAAAGTGTGACTAAGTCATTAGCCAGTTCAGTTTGCACCTCCATAGAAATGTGTAAGAAAACTTGTGAATGCATCATTCCCTCCATACTACGAAATAATTTGCATACATTAAAAGACCCTTTGATGTAGTAAGTTTCATCTAATATTAAAGAAATGTGTGTGGGTTGAAGAAATAATCATTTCTTATACTGCTCAGACTGAAAGGCCTTACCATGAAAATGAGGAAAGACACTTAAAAAGAGGCTGTGACCTACTGAAGTTACCATGTCAAAGATACCACTGAGGAATTTTGCTTGAGTTCATGCCACGTGTGTTAAACTGGGGTGAAATAGCCTTGCTTTGGGATGGTCTAACTCAGTATTTTGTAAAAACCCAGACTAATTTTACCTGGTCTTATGAGATTACTTAAAAATGTTGGAATTACCCATATTTTGCTTTTATGTCTGACAGGATTTCTTTGTAATTGTTTCATTTGCTTGGTATTGGAATAGTATTGCGTAAACTGTGGTAAGGGAGGGTATTCAGTAGCTGGGCAACACTGTTTTCCCTGTGTAATTTTAAACTAAGCCTTGCTTACATCGTTTTGCAAAGCACACAAGGAAACAGCCCTATTTGCATTTCAGTTATCCTCACATGAAATATCTGTTGCTCAAGTAATCCATTGTCTCCAATTGGAGATACATGGAGTTGGTGGATGGAGCACTCAGTGGATAAGGATTGGCTGGACTGGAGTTGTAGTCAATGGCTTGATGTCCAAGTGTAGATCAATGACAAGTGGTGTTCCTCGGGTTGATATTGGGACTGGCGCTGATTAACATCTTTGTCAGCCACATTGACAGTGGAACCTAGTGCACTGATTTGTTTGGATTTAGCTAGGAAATAGTTTGACTCAGGGTCTTTGATGAATAAAATTTGTTAATCAACTGAAAACGTTAATCTTTTCTGAACAGAAATGTTTAACTTGTGCTGCTGTGCTGGAAGAAATACTGGCAGTGTTGCCTGGTTTAGAGCAGATGACCTCCTCAGGGCTGAAAGCAGTCACGGTTTGGAGTGCTCGATGAATTAAATTTTGCTTCTCAGTCTGGGAATGGGGCTTGAATAGAAGGATCCTGCAAAGAGAGCTGTAAGGAAATGGGAAACAATGTGTCTGTGATACGTGATTATCTCATCCTTAATCAGCCTTGTGGTTAATGCCAGAGGTGAGTTAGCAAATACTGGGCAGCAATGCAGTTAGGCAGGTGCTTCTCTGTGCATATAGAAGTGCTCAGAGTAATGAAAAAACCCACCTCTATTCCCCAGATGTGCTTTCATAGTCATCTTTTGTATGTAATCTCTCTAAATAGCTTTTAAAGTCCTTTAGATTCAGTTTTAGTACATGTATGAGGGTTTAAGGCTAAGCCAGCTGTTACAGCATAGGAGCTAATTCTCTAGTTCTCACACAGACTTCTCTTAAAGTAACTGGAAGCATTTCATGATTCACAGTCTCAAATCAGGTTTTGTGATAATCATTTCTGTGACTCTGGGAATGTGGCTTGAAATTGTCAGTGACCTGCAAGGAGGAATGCTGGAAGCGTTTGAGATCTCGGGTAAATCTGATGTGCTGGCAACTGTAATAATGCCACATAAATTCCATTCTGCTGAAGGGGCATTGCTGGTACAGAGAGGTGGAAGTCTGCAGTTGCTGAGCCTTATCTGCTGCTAATAAACTTCTAAGTCTTGTGGTTATTTCTCAGTCTGACACACTGTGGAAGAAGCAGTTTGAGTACAGTTGTAATAAAACCCCTTGCTATTCCAGCTTCCATGCGTGCATCTCTCTGGCCTAAACTTCTTGGGTGACAGGTTTTTTAAACACCCGTCTATATTCCCTAGATACGTATTTTACCTTGCATGTGCCATTCATGTGAAAGTCTTAAGCTCTCTGAGTCCCAGCCCCTACCACGGAGAGGACCAGTTGCTGAGTAGGAGCCATGGATATCATGCTACAAGTAGTCCACAGCAGTAGCTGCTACCTGTCAGTGGTCATGCAGTAAGCCAGTAAGTAGTAGGGATGAGATTCACCAGGTTCCAAATGCCTGTTTGAACTGTGAGCACTGTTTGATGTAAATTCACTCGCAGCCACTTCTGATATGTCCTGCAAAAAACATCTGGATCTGAATGTTCCTCTTCCAACAGTCTCTCTGAAAGGGGATGTGTATAAGGTCAGTGTTTCTTTGTTTCAGGTATCACCTTGCCCTGCATAGTTCCTGGAGCATATGGGCCCCCAGGGACTCCCGGCTTCCCAGGATTGCCAGGTAGGGGACAAGCTGATTGTAAGGCACTGGCTGACTACCAGGAAGCACTTATTCCTCAAGGAAGAAAATACCTGCTAATTAATCTCCTCTGAGTGATAGTTATTCCAGAGAGTTAACTGGCACAACCATGTTCTTTCCTGTTGTTATTGTTGTTCAGACTGGTTTTAAATCCCGTGGAGGATCATCATGACTGTGCCATTCTTTCCCTTTCTAGTAGCCCCTGAACACAACCCCTCTCCTTCTGTGTGTGTGTAGCAGATGAAACTGCCCTAGCTTTGAGACATTTTATTTAGCTTAAATTGTGTATCCAGCAAGTGTTTTCAGCGCTAGCTTTGCAGGAAAGATTTGATCCTGTTTTCTTGTGCTGTGCATTTGTCTTCCACTGTTTGTTCATTAATATTATTTATTAATATATTTTTACCCTTAGGTCCCAAAGGCATCAAAGGCTTTCCTGGCATTCCCGGCCAACCTGGATTACATGGGTCAAAAGGACAACCAGGGTCTCCAGGAATAGTAGGCTTGCAAGGGGAACCTGGTAAGAGGGATGTTATTGGAGTTCTTTTTCTTGTCTGATTAATGTGTACAGTATTCTGTCAAAAGAGTTGTGTGACCTTCTAGGCCACTCTTCTGCCTGGTACATTCCTAGTGCTCCACTGAGAGTTCCACTGTGCTCCTTCCAAATCCAATCTCTGCAAGCAAATGGTTGCAGCTTGGAAAAAAACCAAAGTAATATTCAAGATACTTGTTACCTGCCTATAGCGTTATTACATTGCTGCTGGAACGAAAGGGGGCAGGCAGCACAGTTTGTTTCTTCAGGGACCATAGTCATGTGCTATGTTGTAGTTCCGGTTAACTACAAGTTTAATGTAACACTTGTTTAAGCCATGTGGTACTCTGGTAAAGGCACACTGCACAGAGTGTTTGGGCTCATTTTAGCTGTGGGAAGTTCTGATGATTGTGTAAATAAAGAGCAAGAAGCTGAGGTGGTGAGGGAAGCATCGTAAAGCCCAGCTGCTGTGTATCCATCAGGTTTCTCTGGATATGGCTGAAGAAATCTCTTATCCTTTCACTTTATCAAAGGGAGATGGCATCATAATGAGGCTGCTGATTTCATGGCATAACCCCTGAGCAGCTGGCACATGCACACAGCAGTGCCGTTTAGTGTCTGCCCAGTACAGTGAGAGCACTTCCTGTTCTACTGGTACCAAGGCTGCCAGTGTCTTCTGCTGCACAGAGCCAGAACTTGTCTGGCACAGAGGACAGAGTTAGAAAGCTAGTTAGAAAGTGATGAATAAGTTAGAAAGTGATGAATATAACCTCTTTGCAGCTTTTGTGGCTGATAGTGGTAGTGAGATACTGCCTGTCCGTAGCCTGAAATGGCCATCTTCCTCCTTTTTGTCCTTTGTGCCCAATCTGCCATGTAGTGAAACCAAGCCTGTAAAGCTGTTTTAAACGGTTTCATCACTTTCTGTCACCAATTACTGTTTCTAATTTGGTACCGAAACATTCTGCAACTTTCCAAACAAGTTTGTCTTGCACATAAATGTTTAAGCTGTTGATTTTGGTGTTAGAGATGCAGTGGGAAGCAGATCTGCACTTCTGCTGAGTGACATTTTCTGGTTTTCTCTTTAAGGCTTCCCTGGGCCTCGAGGAGAGCAAGGCCCACAGGGACTTCCAGGGCTGGATGGAACAGATGGTTTCCCTGGGAAAATGGGTGCTTCAGGCTTAGCTGGGACAAAAGGAGCTCCTGGAGATGTGTTTGGTGCTGACAGTGGGGCCCTGGGAGAGCGTGGCCGACCTGGACACCCAGGTGACAAAGGGCTTACAGGTGATCCTGGATTTCCAGGACCAAAAGGTAAACACTGATACTGCTTCTGTATGGGAATGTCAAGCTGTTTCCCTATCAGAAAGCTTTCCTCTTTCCTACCTCTCTTTAAGATACTGTGTTTGGTGTCCTCTAAGCTGCTCACAGGTGGCAGTTTGCTAGTTTTCTCTTTGAATCTAATGTAACTTAAACGCTTTTATTGAAACTCAGTTTTTAACTAAAAGTGTGAATTTTGTTTTATTTGTTCTGTAACCTCCCACCTCTCTGTTCCCAGGGTTAGATGGCAGACCAGGCCTCCTGGGTATTAAAGGAGAACAGGGTAATCCAGGATACGTGGGTGTCCCTGGATTGCGAGGACCTCCTGGTCCTGGAGGCCCTTTTGGCATTAAGGGAAAACCAGGACCCTTGGGGTCAGTTGGCCTTACAGGAGCACCAGGTATGTAACATCCTCAAATGAAGACAAATAGCTAAGATGAATGCTGTAATGTTGAGGAAGTGTGGGAGAGATTTGGTATGTGCTAGGAGTGAGCTCCTATCTGGTCAGGGGTAATAGAAGGCAGAACTAGAGCCTTTCGCCTCTTGACTGCTGGACAGCTCCTGCCTAGAAAAGTTGCCCCAAGGCAGGAGAAAGCATCTTCAATGTCTTCACATTTTGAACATCTCTGCTCTCACATGCTGGCTGCTGTATCACTGACTAATTCTTATTTCCCATTTTCTTGACGATGCACATCTAATGTATGAGGTTGCTTGAAATGTGACTTCTGATAGATGGAAAAATCGTTGGCTTCAGCAGAACAAGCACTTGTCTCCTCTCTCTTTCTCTTTTCTGGGGCAGAAGAAAAAGCTATTTCCCTTCATTTTTAGGGGGGAAAACCCCACCACTTGAGTTCAGCAGTATTGCTCAAGCTGCACTGACTGAAGTGTTTCATGATGACAATATAGGCAAGACTTGAGAACCAAGCAAAGAGGGACCTGGGAATTAGTAGATAATGATCTGTGACATAACTTGTCTGTTCTGACATGCAGAATGACAGTGCTGGAGCACAGTGACAGCAAAGGAATGAAAGCAGTCATATGTCATATGAGATGAAAATCATAGAGGTTTAAAGATTATTTAGGTACTGACATTCTGTTTACCTCTCCATTGTTTTACATTTTTGGAGTGTTTGCTATATAGGACATTCCTTCAACTGCTTTTAAAACCTCCCATTGCTAGGATAGTAAACTCTAAATGATGAAGTTTTTTTGCAGCTGTTGTCTCTCTGAATCATTAATTTCTTTTGTACCCTTGTTCTTTCTGTTTACATATTTTGTCTGTTTTTTCCTTCACCATGTTTCTATTCCATTTATCATCAACTCTCCATTTCTGATGTCACACTGTTTGGTTGTGGGTTCTTCACATAGGCTGTCAAGGTGAGAAAATGCAGTGTAGCATAAAAGCTCATGGACTAACAACCTAGCTTTTAAATGCTACGAGAATTGCATTGACTATAGGTGATACCCCTTATTATTGCTAATCAAGCCAGCAGGCAAAGAACCATTGTAGTGAGAATGCTCAGACGGTAACAAAGCCTGAAGCTTATAAGGAAATCTTTAATATGTACAGATTTGAATTGTGTGTGTTTTGTCTTAAATGAAGCAGCCATTTCATCTTCTGCTTGGTTGTAGCTTTAAGCATTTAAGCCCTGAGTATAACAAAGCTCACATATTGGGTGCTAAAGCTGTGAATGCCATTTTCCAGAAGACACCTGATTTTTCCTTCTCTTCCTCCTTTTGGACCTGAGCATTCTGTTTTCAATGGTTTGAGCCTTTCTTCAAAATGATAAACCATTACAAAGCTTCAGCTAGAAACATTCTGAAACACTTAGAGGCAAACCAGTGTGTGTGGTGTTGGTTTTGTGACAGCAAAACCAGAGGCTTGTTCGCTTAGTGAGCAATTTGTTCTTGAGATCTACGCTTCAACTACCAAGGTGGAAAAGAAACTTGTTCAAAAAAGCCTCTCCAACTGATCACCCAGAGGATGGGGCAGGTAGCAGAAGCTGGCATTAGTGATGCTCCCCATTCTGGTTTGGCAGCCTTGATGATAAAGGTAAGACTGGTGAGCTACAGTTTAGGGTCTGGTAAAGGAGACAAAAATGGACACACCATAAGGGGTTTCACTCTTGCCAGTTGTGTAGTGATGTAGGCAGTAACCCTCTTCCTAGGTATTTTATTGTTAGATGACTAATGCTTTTGCAATTCTAAGCTTTATGCCTTCTAGTAGGCTGCATGTGCCATAAGGTCGATTTGTCATTAAACCAGTGCTGTGTTTAAAGAGTTTGAGAAGCTGTCCGCATATTGTCCTCCTGCTTGTCTGAGGTAATCTACTGAGTTCTTTCTTGTTGATTGATTCAGGGCTTCCTGGAATCAAAGGCTTGATGGGGGATGTAGGTCCACAAGGCCCTGCTGGTATGAAAGGCTTCCCAGGTCTTGATGGTGCTCCAGGATCTCCTGGGGAAAGAGGATTCTTAGGGCCACCTGGGCCTTTTGGTCAAGATGGGCGTCCAGGTTTCTCTGGGCCAAAAGGTATGTATTCTGCTATGGAGGTAGTCTGGGATTACTGGGCCCATGGAAAAAATAACCTTGTTAATACTGATTTTAGGCCTGACTTGTCAGAAGAGAATCCCGACTAGTGGTGGAAGGTATTTGTTTTGCTGCTGAGTTATGAATTACAAATGATAGCTTTAATTATCCAATTGTGGTCATAAGGAGATCTATCTTAAAGGCCTCAGGCCCTTATGGAAAAAGCATTGTGTAAATCAAGGTAGAAAATCAAGAAATTTGAAGAAGAGACAAGCACTAAACAAAATGTATAGAAGGGAGAGAATGAAGCACAAAGCAAATGGGAAGTACAGCCTTGCTATCTGCATGGTCATTAAGCAGCAATGCAGTAGTTGGCTACATGGAGAATTCAGAGTTGTTTGAGGGGGAGAGCAATAGGGCTATGTAACTGCATGTTGACTGGAAATCAATTGGGTTTTGGTCTCCAGTGGAAACAGGACCAGGCTCTCGAAGGTGAATGCGAAAGCGCAGGTCAAAAGTACCATCATTTGGAGACCTGTAAGAAGAAGGGGCCGTTATGTGCTTGTGCCATGAAGTTTAACCACCCAGTATTGGGTGGTTGGCCAGCCCCATGCTGCCTTCACCTACCAGCCAGGTGAGTGTGCAGTGTACCGGAAGAACTAATTTTCCCTTTCCGTTTCTCAACTTCCCTGTGCAGGTGAGAAAGGGTCCTCTGGCCTGCTTGGTTTCCCTGGCATGCCAGGCCTGCCTGGTGTCCCTGGCGTGAATGGGTTTAAAGGAACTCCTGGCACAGCTGGAGGAAAAGGGAGCCCTGGAATTGTAGGACTTCAAGGTCAAAAAGGTGAGAAGCAGGTGGCTGTGCAGAGAGGGACTTAGGAGGCCCTTCCGCCTCCTTCTGTATTTGATGTTTTCTTCTAGATAATGTTTTCTTTTCCTCCTGGTGAAGTACTTTGGCCTGGTTGCCGAAGATGCTGAGCACTTACTGGTGAATTCACATCTGGAGACACAGAAGTTCTGGTTTTGTCTGCCAGCTCCTAGTGTTGTACCCTGTCTATGTTGGATTATTTTGCAAGGAGATTTCCTCACTTATTTCTTCAGGTGACAGAGGTGATGTGGGTCCACCTGGTCTTCCAGTCCTTGGGCCTCCAGAGCAGGCACTGCAGTTCAAAGGGGACAAAGGAGATCCTGGATTAGCTGGACTTGGAGGGTTCCCTGGGCCTAGAGGTATTTCACGTTGCAGTTATTTGCTGGTATTGGTTGTTCAGTAACTGCTTGTTCTCACTGCAGTGTGGTCTGGCTGTTGACAGTGCCTGCAGTAGCACTGTTTTCTGTTCTGCCATTCACATTCTAGCAAGATTTGCCTATGGCAGTTCTGAATTTTGAGAAAACACTTTTGCTTTGAGGCTCTGTTCTGCAAAGCTAATTCCGTCCTTCCTCTTCCTTAAGGGGAGCTTTGGGGAACAGGGCGGTTGGTCCAAATATGCTGAAATGTCTGTGTAATGAAGTGAAATAAAAGTAAAAGCGTGACCAGCAGGTCAAAGGAGGTGATCCTCCTCTACTCTGCTCTCGTGAGACCTCACTTGGAGCATTGTGTGCAGTTCTGGTGTCCTCAACATAAAAAGGACATGGAACTGTTGGAACAAGTCCAGAGGAGGCCATGAGGATGATCAGGGGCTGGAGCACCTCCTGTATGAAGACAGGCTGAGGAAGTTGGGGCTGTTCAGCCTGGAGAAGAGAAGGCTGCGTGGAGACCTTATAGCAGCCTTCCAGTGTCTGAAGGGGGCTATAGGGATGCTGGGGAGGGACTCTTCACTAGGGACTGTAGTGACAGGACAAGGGGTAACAGGTTAAGACTTAAACAGGGGAAGTTTAGATTGGATATAAGGAGGAAATTCTTTACTGTGAGGGTGGTGAGGCACTGGAATGGGTTGCCCAGGGAGGTTGTGAATGCTCCATCCCTGGCAGTGTTCAAGGCCTTGGATGAGATGGTTTAGTGTGAGGTGTCCCTGCCTATGGCAGGGGGGTTGGAACTGGATGATCTGAATGTCCTTTCCAACCCTAACTATTCTATGATTCTAATGAAATGAAGTGACACTCCTTTGTATAAACCAGGTGATAAAGGAATCCCAGGAAGCCGTGGACAGCCTGGTCTCCCTGGTCCAATTGGGTCAGCAAGCAAAGAGAGAGGTCTTCGTGGTGACCTGGGCTTCCCTGGTCCACCTGGGCAGCCTGGGCTGCCAGGACAGAAGGGTACACACGGTATCACTGGATTTCCAGGAATGCCGGGAGAAAGGGTAAATACCTTATTAAGTATCTTCTTCTTCTCCAAGTAGTCTCAGGAAGGTCCTGTGTTCTAATTGGTGCTTCCTTACAAAGCTTCCAGATTGTTTCTGTTTGGCTCATACTGTTGAAGGACAATTTGGACATTCTTCCTCCAGCTTTGCAGTCTGTTATCCCACACAACCCAGACTTGGAACAGCAAGAATAAAAAGCAAGAGCTAATTTTGGTTGTTTTTTTAAGGGTTCAGATGGTATCACAGGAGCACTTGGATTCCCAGGACCTATTGGCCTCCCTGGCCCAAAGGGTAAGAAATCTTTCACAGTGTACATGATCATTTTGTACACACAGTACTAATATTCATGACTGAAATGAATGAGTAGTGTTCTAAAAATGGCTCTCAGTGTTTGACTCTGAAGTTCATGTCCGCTTGTAAGGGGCTTCATTCAGATGAGACCAGTCCCAAGCCTAAATACTTTATGGCCACAGCACTGTGTGAAGCGTGTTGGACAGGATGAGGGGCACCCTTCTCTTCTCCTTGTGTCAAAAGTGTAAAAGACAGGGTGTTGTGGAATTAGCCTGAAATGTTTGTCTTATCAAGCATTTGCATGAGTGAGTTTGCATCCACTGCTGTTTATGAGCATTTTCAAATTCAGGTACATCACTTACTATTATTGCTCCTTGGATCTGAAGTATGGGCATGGTTTATTTTCATAAATAAGGGTACTGAGCAGCCCTGAAAGCTGCTTCCCAGAGTCAGTTGTGCTCTTTCTCTTCCAGGTGACCAGGGAGAGACTGTTGGCATTCCTGGCATTGCTGGAGCAAAAGGAGAGCGAGGGGACCCGGGGTTCCCAGGTGAAGTAGCTCTTGATTGCTCACTTCAAGAGTGAAAACGTCTAGAGTTTAAACAGGATTTAGCATTGCCCAATTTGGGCATTTTTGTAATCGATGTATTCAAAAACTTTAATCCTCTCCTGGAAGCGAGATTTAAGGAGTCTAGAATCCAGGAGGAGTACATAACTGGATTATGATGAACACGTCTGAGAACAGCCCAGTTCCAGTGCTGGGTCCCACTTCACTTCTTGAGGTGGAACTTGTGAGCTTACACTGGTATTTGTCATCCAGGAGTCCAGTCCAGGGCCCAGACCATGGCTGAGCAGACACCCGTGCTGCAGCCTCAGCAAAACGTGTTTCTCATTCTCTTCACACCTTCCCCCAGTTTGACTTGTGCTCTACCATGCTGTTTGTTTTTATCCTTTCAGGAGAGAGGGGGAGAGAAGGACCCAAGGGTGAACCAGGCTACCCAGGAAATACTGGGGTGAATGGACCCAAAGGTGGCCCAGGAGATCTTGGCCAAGAAGGACCAGCAGGTATGGGACTTGGCATCTAAGTTCTGCGGTTCGGGGTATGATGGTGGAACAGCAGCACCTTAGCCCTGGTTGGTCTGCCTTAGCCAAGGCTTAAACAAGCAGGTTGACAAGATGATGAGGATTGCCTTTGACATCAGTGTAAGGTGTCACCTTATCCAGTTGTGAATGATCCTGTGGGTCAAACATGTGGTAAATCCTGCACAATCGAAACCTAAAGGAATTCCTTTGGCAAACAGGGAAGACCTCTGTTAGATACCTGGTCTTGAACACTGCCAGGGATGGAGCATTCACAACCTCCCTGGGCAACCCATTCCAGTGCTTCACCACCCGAACAGGAAAGAATTTCCTCCTTATATCCAATCTCAACTTCCCCTGTTTAAGTTTTAACCCATTACCCCTTGTCCTGTCACTACAGTCCCTAATGAAGAGTCCCTCCCCAGCATCCCTATAGGCCCCCTTGCCTTGGGTGATACGGTTTAGTGTGAGGTGTCCCTGCCCATGGCAGGGGGGTCGGAACTAGATGATCTTAAGATCCTTTCCAACCCTAACTATTCTATGATTCTATACAAGCAGTAGCAGCTTCTTTGGAGCTGCTCTAAAATCTTCCATTGCAACACTTCTGTTCATTCCCTCCCAAACTCACCCAAAGGGATGGCTACGAGTGTCTATGGGTCGTGGTGTGACAGGTAGATCCTCAAATTGTTATCAAGATTAAAGGTGGGAGAACAGTTATTGAATGTTTTGTTTGAAAAGCAATGGTTCAGCACATGAACTGTTCCAGTGTATCACTCAGTGCATGGTGGAGAATGTCGTTGCTATGATTAAGAAAAAGCTATCAAACAGTTTGGAAAGTGCTCTGCTGGTAGTGGTAGTGAGGAGAGATTTGGATCTAGTTTACTTTATCTAAAGAGTAGTGTATTCACCCATCTTACGAGTTAAGTGCAGGAACAGAAGCTGTAAGAGGGAGCTATGAGCTGTTCCAGCCTGCATGTGTAATACAGGGGCTTTTTTCTTCTTGGTTTTAGGAATCCCTGGAAATGCTGGGCCGAGAGGAACCCCTGGGCCACCAGGACCTCCAGGGCAGCCAGGGTCTGTTGGATTCCCTGGAGCTCGTGGAACAGCAGGACCTAAGGGTATATCTGGAGCCTGCAAATGGAGGGGAGAAACTGGGTCAGAAAACTAGGGTTTCAGCCAAGCGTATGAGCAGGCAGGCAGACAGCACTCTGATGTGTGGGCCAGCTGTGCGTGGGAAACCAGCTCCTTTCCTGGCAATGTTAGTGCAGGCACCAGCTGCTTGAAATGAGCAGAGAAGTGGTTGGAAAGGGAGAGGCTCTCCCGTGATTTGGATCACTGATGGGTGTTCTCTGAGGGTAAAACCAACGGGAGCAGTGGGAAGAGTTTCCATGACGGGAGCCTGTGTGAGGGAACCCTTTACATGGTGTCCCCCTTCCCCTGTGTGTCAGGTTTCTCATATATTTTGTAGTCTCCACAAAACATCCTACCTGGATTATTTGCTTAGTTGCTCACTTTTGTCTTCCCCACTGTCCCTTCAGGGTTTCATGGATTTCCAGGTTTAAATGGCCTGAATGGCTTGCCAGGCACAAAAGGATCTCCTGGAACACCAGGTAAAGGAAATGTGTAGTAAAGTCATAGCTGGGGAAATGCATACACTGGTCCATCAGAAGAGCAGGTTTTTCTCTACAAAATTCCCCTATTTCACCCAGTTCTGGATTTAATCATAACATGAAAAAAACCATCAGGATACAGAAATGTGCATGAACAAAGTCTTTAATGCCAGTGAGAGTCAGATGCAGCCTGTGGGGTTGAAGAGGTTTTTCTGGTGACGGTTCTCCTTGAATTCCTGAAGGACTGTGTCACTGCTGCAAAGTTGATGGGATGAAATCACAGAACTCTTCCCTTTTCAAGGGATGTTTGATTTTAGCAGGGCAATATCTTCTCTCAGCATCTTGCAGATTGTGTAAGTTCACTGCACAACCTGAGGCATCAAATCTTTTTCTGTTGCTCTACTGAAAACAGCAGAGAGAGTACTAAAAGGCGAATTGCTTTATTGCAGCTCAGCTTCTGTAGTAATTTAGCTGCTACTAGGCAATTTGAATGGGATCTCTTATCTTTGCTAACCATGTTTAATCAGGTCTGAGTGAAGCTGGACTGAAAGGCCCTGCAGGTCTCCCAGGTCCAAAGGGTGAAGAGGGTTCTCCAGGCTTGGGCAGAGGACCTGCAGGATTCCCTGGACCAAAAGGCTCATCAGGAGACACGGGTAAATGCTGATGTTCTGGAAGCCTAGCAGTATTGCAGCTCAGGTTAATGTGTGGCATGGTCAGCAGAATTACCAAAGAGGACTCCTGAAGCCACGGAGGTGGTTAGTAGTTTGACAGGTAAATGTTAAACCTGTGATGTGGCTATATATTTGAGAAGCAGTGGGTTACACAGTTCTTACAGTATCTGTATCTCTCCTGAACAGCAGAATGTGTGATATTCCCCCTCATGCAGTGAGATGTCTCTTTGTTCTCCTCAATGTAAATGCTATTCAGCCTCTGCTTCTGTCCATATCTGTGAAGATCACTGAAGAGCTCTGGGTCTGCTCTCACTTTGCATTTCTTGTTCTAGGTCCCCCCGGTCCTGTGGGACTGCCTGGCTTGCCAGGAGCACCTGGAGCTTCTACTCCTTCTGATATACGTGGCAGACCTGGGGATGCTGGCCATCCAGGAACTGATGGGAGCTCAGGTATGAAGAGAGGCCTCTTGAGCAGAGCAGACTAACTGAGACGATTACTGTTCCTTTATGTACTTCATTTGAAGAGCTCTAAGGGGAAATGACTTGGATGAGTACTGTCACTTTAATACCCTGGGTTTTGGGTTAGGGATTGAGAGAGTTCTCTTTCCAATTCCTCTTATTGAATCTTGGTATAATTTAGCCTGTTATTAAAGCTCTCTGGTCCATGTTCATTTCACCTATTGTGGTACTGATTTGGGCATTAAGGTAGGGACTTTGGTCCAGCATTGTATGTCCAAATTTGGACACCAGCTCCATTTTGGACTGTGGTTTCCACAGCTGTAAGCAGAGGCTCTGTGTGAAGTTTAGAAGTGTCCTATCTGATCTGGGAAGCAGCAAAGCTTCATTGCTCCTTAAGAGGCACTTGCTGAATAACTGTTGTTAAAAGGGCTTAAAAGTTTGAGATCTAAGTGGATGTAGGTGCTGGGGTCTGGTTCTTTTCCTCTGGGAGGGCACCTCTGGAAATACAGACACCCAAGCAATGACTGTCCTCTACAGACACGCACCAGCATTGTGGTGCCAGATGGCACCAGCATTTACTTTGCCCCGGGAGCAATTGTGTGAATTACCTTTGCTGTCTCTAGGTCTTCCAGGTCCTCCAGGCCCACGAGGACCCCCTGGCCCAGCTTCTGACCAAGGTGACACTGGCAACCCAGGTTTCCCTGGTGTTCCTGGCTTGCGAGGCAGTAAGGGCGATGTGGGACCCCCTGGCCCAATTGGACTCCCTGGGGCATCTGGACTCAAAGGTAATCCTGCCCTGAAAGGATCTGGGTATGGTCTGGCAGCTGTCACCTTGATGGTATGAATGGCTGTCGTGTGGTTAGTGTGACCCTGCTCAGGTGTCAGCACTGCTGAGCTTGTTGTCTAAGTCGTCCCTTTCAGCCCCTGCAGGTTTTACCTACTGCCTCCAAAGGCAGCAGAGTGAGGGCAGCTCCACCTGCTCTTCAGTGTGTTCCTAATGATGTTTTTCTCTTCTCTTTGTTCACTTGCATATGCTGTTTCATTCCACCTATCATGTATGCTCAGAGGCATAGTGTGGTGGATTTAGCTCTCCACAAGAGGCTAAGGGGATTGTTGTGGGCTAAGGCTGAGAGCAGCTTGCTTTCTCTTTGGTCTCTGCCAGGGAAGATGAGAGGACAGCTGCAAACAAACTCTAGCAGCAAGGTTTCAAAGAAACCACACACCTCAAAAGCCAGGTTCTTCACTATTGCAAGGTGAAGAACTGCATGCTGCCCTTGTGGGCTGGCAGATCCCCATCCCTCTGTGCTGTGCCTAGAGATGCATTACAAGTAGAAATGATGTCTACTCCTCAAAACCTTTCCCTGGTTACCCAAGGAAGGGGAAGAATACTTCAATAAAGTGTGGTTATGTAGCAGTGGAAATTCTTGTGTTGAGGCTCTGCAGCCATTCTGGACATCGGAATGGGCACAGGATTCCTTAGGGTCATGGTCCCTCTCCATCTCAGAGCTGAAATGCTGCTGCCATTGCTGCCACCAGCGTGTTTCTCAGTGCCCCGGCTGTGGGTCAGGATCAGGACCCTCTGCTTAGTGCCTGAGGTCTTTAGCTGTGTTTCTTTGCAGGTATAAGAGGTGAGCCTGGCCTTATGGGGATGCCAGGTAAAGATGGGCCTGTGGGGGATCCTGGTTACCCTGGGCTGAAAGGTGAAATGGGCCGTCGAGGTGAGTGCTGGGGGTTTGAACTTGTACTTTATTGCACATGGCTTGGGCTGGGGAAGATTTCAGAGCTCCCTTCATGGGCTTACCTGGGGGACTTAGTTTCTTAGAGACTGAAATAAATCAGAAAGAGCTCGACATGCCACTTCTCACAAAGATGCCCAGTGCTGATGTACTAAGGCAGTCTCAGGTTAACACACTGCTCCTTTGTGTCAGTGTTATCACCAAACCTGAATCTTCATGTGGGGTACTTACACTGTCATTTGCACCATGTGCAGGTCTCCCTGGCCGACAAGGGGCTCCAGGTATCACCCCACAGCCAGAAGAAGTCACAGCCCCTGCAGGCTTACCTGGTCTGCCAGGAATTGATGGTGTGCCTGGCTTTGATGGAGATCCTGGATTCCAGGGCCCAGCTGGAAAACCAGGTAAGAAGTACACTCAGACCACTGAAATGCTGGCCTTCTGGAAGAACATCACCACTTTCTCAAATGATTTAGAAAGCTTTACAGGTTTTCCTACTAAAGGAAGTAATTCCAGCAAAATACAGATAGCATGTTTTATTATTATTAGAATGTACTTGATAAATTCCATTCATGCACTTTTATAGTGTTTTTAATTAGGTTTCCAGCATTGGCTGCAGCAGCCTGTGCCATAGCTGATGTGATGCCAGCTTTGGTACTAGCAGGTGGAGTGGTCATGAAAATGATTTACCACTGAGAATCATTTGAACTGCCACTTAGATGCTATAGCTTGAGAAGTGCTGGGAGCTTCAGCCTGCACCACTGTGGTTCCTGCTGTTTGGCAAAGCAAGTTGGGTGGCTCCTGCACCAGGTGGCTCTCCTGGGCCCACGATTCCTTCCTCAGCTCTGCCACTGAGGGAGTTTAAATGTTAGTATAGGGAGTAACCGCTGAGTGAGCCTTTGTTAATGCTGGGCAGGCAATTGGGTAACAGGTGCTGCAGAGCAGGGAAAAGAGAGGTGTGTTGGGAAATGATTTATACTATTTTTAATGCCCAGTCTGTACAGAAGTTGTGCAAATGTTCACCCATCTGTTTCCCATGTTTCTTTATACTAACTTTCCCCATTACTGATCACACGCTCAGTATCTGGTTCTGTGCAATTCCCTCCCTCCTCTTTATACCATTCTGTTGTATTTTAACTTGTAACTTCCTGAACACTTACTGTTGGTTCGTCCAACCCATGCCAGAGCTTTCTGGTTTGGGGTCAGGACAGCCCTGAATGGATTCTGAACATCCATAGGCAGACACCTCCTGTTAGATACCACTAAATTCTAAGCCTTTGTATTTTGAACACCCTTCACTGCCCTGAGACTTCTTAGAGATTGGTCAGTCAGATGCACATCATTGAATATTGGGAAAGGTGAAGAGACAGGTTCATTGAGATCAAATCAATGGCTTTAATTATACATCATATTTTCTGGAATATGATTGCTGAAGTGAAGTCATTAGTATGAAGAAGAAACAATGATAGCAATAATTGTATTTGATTTCAGGTGCAAAAGGTTTGCCAGGAAGATCAGGTTTGAAAGGACGTGATGGTTTACCTGGATCACCTGGCACAATTGGGGATCCAGGACCTTCGGGTGCCCCAGGCCCACAGGGATTTGAAGGTAATTTTATGCTGTGGGAGCACAGATCAGAGGGGTGCAATCAGTAGAGTTCCGTTTGCTCCCGGTTCTGCAGAGACCCTCTCCAGCAAGCAGCAGCCTTAGGAAGACCAGGGGATGCACATGGCCTTGTGCCTTGTATCTGCAATGAAGTCATTTAAATCTTCAGTGAGGAAGATGATGTCACTTGTCACTGCTGGTGTTTCCCTGGTACAGTTCTGAGCATCTTTTGGGTTTAATGTTTTGCGGATGTGGGACTCACCTCGAAGATCTAAAGGAGCCATATGGCTTTGACAGTGACCACTGCTGTGAGGGGTGGGTAGCAGAGGGAAGGCACAGTGACAGAGAGAAGGGTTGGATTCTGCCATAGACTTGTAAAACTTTTGGCTTTCTGTATCAAAGGAATATCATCATGAAGAGCACTGTAACAAAAATGAATTTATTAGGTTTTGGTTGGTACTTAGAGATCCTGAGAATTATTGTACTGTGTGGATATGTGCTAAGACAGTGACACCAGAGTTTGGGGGCAAAGAGATGAAATGAAACGAGGTAGGAAACAGGCAGGTGCTACTGTGAAATGGCTGCTTTTGGAAGTGCAAAGTCTGGTTATTTATGTAACAACCATCAAATCCTGGGTTCCTCGTTGTCCCAGACTGACATGAACACAATGGCAGCAATGCCAAAACTGGGTACAGACCCAGCTGATGTGAGCACTGCAGATCAGTAACAGCGACTCCTTTTCTGTCTTCTAGGTGTTGCTGGGAAGCCGGGCTTGCTTGGTTTGCCAGGAATGCCCGGTCGGAGCGTGGGTGTTGGATACACGTTAGTGAAGCACAGCCAGTCAGACCAAATCCCACCTTGTCCCACAGGAATGAATAAGCTGTGGGATGGCTACAGCTTATTGTACGTGGAGGGGCAGGAAAAGTCACACAACCAGGATCTTGGTGAGCTGACAGATTTCTCTCAGGCATGAACAATGTAGGGCAAAACCCTGTTTCAAATGAGCAGTCTCTGCTGGGAGCAGCATCACTTGTGCCGTCCCCCACCACTCCTCTGGTGTGTCCCAGCTGCAGCACTGGCAGATGCTCAGTGTGACCACTCCTCCCATTTTCCAGGTTTTGCTGGCTCGTGCTTGCCTCGCTTCAGCACCATGCCTTTTATTTACTGCAACGTCAACGAAGTGTGCTACTACGCCAGCCGCAATGACAAGTCCTACTGGCTCTCCACCACTGCTCCCATCCCCATGATGCCGGTGGACAGCGGCCAGATCCCGCAGTACATCAGCCGCTGCTCTGTGTGTGAGGCACCGTCCCAGGCCGTGGCTGTGCACAGCCAGGACATCACCATCCCACAGTGCCCCCTCGGTTGGCGCAGCCTATGGATAGGATACTCCTTCCTTATGGTAAGGGTACTGTTGCTAAGGTAAAGGCAGCTTTAAACACTTCTAGATGTCCTCTTTGATTAGGTGACTGAGACTGTATTCTGTGAGTTGCTTACAGGGAACTAGAGCCCTGTAACTTCCTCACCTCATGCATGTCTTCCTTATCAGCTGGCCTGCTGCAGGCTTTCCAGGTTTGTTCTCATTCACTGTGCTGCTCAAGCTCAGTAGTACCGTTGACATAGTACTGTATTGTCACAAATACTCTTTGCTCTTCAAACCTTTAAATATGGAAATGCTAATCAAGCTACTGCATCGTCTTAATCCCCTCTCTTAGTAGAAAAAGTAGAACATTTTCCACTGCACTCTCCTAGAAGCTTATTAGTGTTAAGAGTGGTAGAAAACAATGAAGTCAGCATTATTGTTCCCAAATTTTCCCATCTTGCAAGGGACGAGCTGGTTTTCCTTTGTAGACTCAGCCCATGCACATGCCTTTGCTTCTTCCCTGTGAGGGTGCTGAGGCGCTGGCACTGGGTGCCCAGAGAAGCTGTGGCTGCCCCATCCCTGGCAGTGCTCAAGGCCAGGTTGGACACAGGGGCTGGGAGCAAGCTGCTCTAGTGGAAGGTGTCCCTGCCCATGGCAGGGGTTGGAGTTGGATGAGCTTTAAGGCCCCTTCAACCCAAACCAGTCTGGGATTTTGTGATGATTTACCTCTGTCCCTGACTCAGAACAGGTACACACAGCCCAGCTGTAGCTGTGGATGACTGTTTTATTCCTTTTAACAATGCAACTGGAGGACTCCCCTCTTTCCCTCCCACTCTGTTCCTTCACACTCCTCCTAATCACCATCTTTCTTTCAGCATACCGCGGCTGGTGCAGAAGGTGGAGGCCAGTCCCTCGTCTCCCCTGGCTCTTGCCTGGAGGATTTCCGTGCTACTCCCTTCATTGAATGCAACGGGGCGCGGGGAACGTGCCATTACTTTGCAAACAAGTACAGCTTCTGGCTGACGACGGTTGAGCAGTCGCAGCAGTTTGTCAGTGCTCCTCCCTCAGAAACTCTGAAAGCAGGACAGCTTCGAACGCGGGTCAGCCGCTGCCAAGTGTGCATGAAGAACTTGTAGTAACCAAAATGCAGTAACAGCCTTTGTTACCTAAGACTAGCCACCCCTGAAGTGAAGGAGGATAAGTTCATAGACCTGTTTGTGTGGGGTTGATGGGTGAATCAAGACAGCCAGCATTCTACAGCAGTCAAGTGTGAAGTCCGGGAGTTTGACTGCACACAGAGGAGGGAAACACCAGTGCTCCGAAACCTCTTTTCTCACGGAATATGGTGCTATGCTTTTACTGCAGTGGGGTTTTCCCCTCAGTTATGGCTACCTCAGCAAGACTATGCGCATTCCTTATTCAGACTGAAGAGTAGCTGATGTCTCTCATTGCACCGCTCCTCTGTCCAAGAGAGACTTCTCATAGAATCCTATGAGCCTTCAAGATCATATGACTTACCAAAAGTTACGCTTTACTGGTGTCTTTGCAAGCAGTATTTGGTCTAGTGTTAGGGAATGAAGGCTTATTCTCCTATGAAATACAGAGCTAGCTGCAATTCATCCATGTATTGCATGTGACTTAGAAGCACTGAGCATTAACGGCTGGCAACTGATTTACTTAGGATGACTCAAAGATTAATCTGGTTTGCTTTGCTTAGTAAACAGATGAGCTGTTCTTTCCTTCACAGCCATAGAAAAAGGGGTCCACTCATGTTTAATAAAAGGACAGAGGCAGAAAGCCACAATTTGGTATACAGTCAAAATCCTAAACTTATCTGTAACTCCGATTGCCTCTATCAATATCTCAAGATTTTTCTCTCTATTCTCCTCTGTGTATTTAAATACCATGAAAATGCTTTATTGGCATCAGCCAATACACTCCTATCAATCACTTTACAACACTCTAGTAACATTTTGGCTGGGTTGTTTTGTTTGTAGCATTGCTGCCTTGCCCCAGGAAGGTACAGTACCATCCCATCCCAAACTGAAGGATTTAATGGAACAGTTTCTAAACTGAGACTCCAGATTAGCAGCTCGAGGCTCAATTTTGTAAACATGGATGTAGCTGAACTTGCTTTCCTTTTTTAAAACCATCGTTTTCTTTCTCACAAGCTCGTTGGTTAGAGGCTGTTCCAGTTCTTTGGGCCAAACTCTTCCTTAGACAGGGCTCAGGTGACAGCAAGCAATGAATTACTATTGTAAATAGTATTTTAAAATCAAAGCTAAGGGTCAGCAGTTTGGCACCAAGAACACAAAACAGCTGAGAAACTTGGGAAGGCCCAGGCTCTTATAGACACTGCTCTCAGTTTACACTGAGATGTACTCTTAGCTTGCTCTTCCCATCAAAATGTTATAAAATAACTTTTTACATTTTAATTTTCTGTCTTGAGAAAGCTTTCAGGGCCCTTCAGCAAAAGATTTTAAGGAGGGGAAAAAAAGAAACCAGCGAGTTTTATTTGACTGATAATTCTCTGTAAACACAATTGAAACAGCGTGAGGGCCCTCCTTCCAGGTAGCTTCTCCTGCCAGGTTATCTGTGTATTTGCCAGGGTTGCCTTATCTCTTTCTCCCATTGCTTTTCAAAGGAGTGCTGGAAATTCAAATTGAAATGCCAATATTTTCACCTTTCTAAAAACATAGATCCTGATTTTGTCTGATAGTATTAGGTAATATGTGAAACTAAGGAAAAATAACCATTTAATAGAAATGTTAAAATAATGTGCTTGAGACTTTTGGGAAAATGGATAAGGTATATCCAGGACTTCAGTATCTTTAATTTGTTTGTTAGTGTTGAAGGTAGCGCTGTTCCATAGCTTCATTTATTGGCATTAGTTACAAAAAGAGGTTACAGACAAAGCCACTGCATTTTTTAAGGCAAACCATTTCTGTAAGGATCAACAAGATAACAAAGGACGACAAAGTGAAAAAGGATCAAGGGACAAGTGAATGGGCTTAGAGGCTGAGGTTGCTGCATTAGCCAGTACTTCTGTCACATTTGTACAGTGCTGCCGGTGTCAGTGAAACTCCATGGCTCTGCCCAAGAACAGAGCCTCACCTTCCACCTCATTCTGCAGGTGATCAGTGTAACAAGGATTAAGATCTTGCTACACGGGTCAAAACTGTGTCTGATTTGTTGTTTTCTTTTGTTAAACACTGGCTCTTTAAGGGGAAAACCAAATCACTGTCAATCAGGGTACAGCTGGTACATGCATAGGCTCTGCATGCTGCAACCGTCATAGTTACAGTTAAGAGAAATTCATGGTCCTACGAAGAGCATCCATTTGGAATCGCAGCTCACCAGCATGCAGAGGGGGATCATGACACTGAGTGGAACAAACATCACAAATAAACAGGTGAGCCAAATGGACACCAGGAAACAAAAACTGTACTTGGCAAAAGCTGCCTTTGACAAGCCTTCCTGAGAAATACAAACGCACACAACCCCTTTCCTTCTGATACAGGTTAACCATCCTGGGAGGCAAACAAGGAAGAATGATGATTAACGTGTGTGTTTGTCATTTCTCATGCTGTAATTTGAGAAGAATTCTCATGAGTTTCTTCTGCGTAAGGGCAGCTTTTTGTGACAGGTACTTCACATCATTTAGGCACAGGACATGCGGTTAGTAACAGCAGAACCCCGTGTCCCAGGAGGTGTGCAACAAGTTAAGCAACACCTAGAAGCACATGTGTAACAGGTGTGCACAAAAAGTTGTCAACAGTTACACAGTAAACAAAGCAGACTCCAGTTATCTTCCATGCCTTTTCTTTGCAATCATTTTTAGTGCTTTCTAATAGTTATGGTTATTTCCTCTGTGTCCCAGCCCACAGGGTCTTACTGATCTCTCAGCATTTGGATTGTCCATTGATCATGCAGCATTCCACAACGTTTTAGATATAAGAAGCACTGGTACTTAGTATTTCTGTGAAGAGATTAGAATGAAATCAGTAGCATGACATAGGCTCCCCGGTCTGCTTGCCATTAAAATAATGTGTGTCTAATCAAATTAGATCTAGATGTTTCTTTTATTAGTATCTCAATATTGTGCTGCTTCTGAATGGGTACTCGCTAAGAGCTTTGGGAGATGATACTCATGCAAATAACAGAACGTATTAAGACAGTGCACACAAACTAAGGAAGGGAGAGGGGAAGAACATCCCTCAGATGGATAAATCAGATTGCAGGCTCTGATACAATGCATGGCTGCAACAGATTTACTTGTACAATAAAATACACCGGCAATATTCTCACCTTCGTTAAAGACAGTCAAAGCGTACCACAACTCCCTTGGATTTAAGTGTTCTCTCACTTACAAAGCCCCCACCCTTCTAATACTTTTCTGCAGTTGAAACGTGACTTTCTGAACCGTGGGGTTTCTTTTTGTAAATGTTAATGCTTTTTTGCAATAAACTCGACCCATTTTGTCTTTTTTTGCACTCCATTAGGAAGAAAAAAATGCCTGTTTTTTTACTGATAATTTATACCAGTTATCAATAGCTTCTATAGAGAAGTAACACAAAGGCTTAAACCAACTGTAATGATTGAATAGTGATCTCTCAAGAGCTGGGCCAGACAGACGTTGGTAGTTGACTAACACATTTAGCAATTTTGGTATGGTTGAGTGTTTTAGACACAGGAAGGTCTTCCTTACAGTAAGGACATCTGTCTATAAATCATGCAATTGTTAGGGGGTAAAAATGCCTGGTAGATCACTTGGTTATTCTGGAATAAATAATTTGTGTGTGTCACACTAGTTGTGTGTAAAACACGGTAGCAACTTCATGTTAAGCTTTAATAAGTTTGAATTATGAAGTGTTGGAGGGAGGCGAACAGAAGCCTCAGAGTCTCAAAGGAAGGATGCTTCCTATGAGGAAAGTACCTGACAGAACTATGAAGTCATCTTTTTCACGCAGCAGTGGAAATTTGTTGTATCATTATTCAGGATTTAGAGTGAGAGCATAGAATTCTAGCGATTCCTCTGCCAGTGCTGCAGGGATATCTCTATATTGACTGCAGTGGCTGTTCTTAGGGGGCTCTCTGGTGAAAACCCTTTTGGGGTTAATACTTAAATACTACCAGGAGGTGTAGTATTTAAGTGTAAATGACTCAGAAAATGATTGAAACATTGCAGAATTGACCTAGTCTAGAATGGAATTAGTAGGTATTAAATAATCCTATAGAAAACACCCATATAGTAAAAGATGGGGTTTAGGCTTTTTATTAGTTCACATCTTTCCTTAGTGTACTAACAATTTGGATTATGATAATTCATACTCAGTACCAAGACAGAAGGTGATATAAATATATAAATAGCTATGTTATTAATACATACCTGATACTGTCTCCCTGCTGCATAATCTGCATAAGGCAGATTAGCACTTGGATAGCCAAATCTCTCTGATGGACGTCGCTGGTTAGAAAAATAGTCTGTTGCTGCATCTGGTCTGCTTAATGGCTGAAGATGCACGGGGCTGTGCAAAACAGGTGAAAGAGGTTATTAAAAACATGGAATAATACACTGCAGATTACTTGAAGGGTTAGTTTCAACTGAAGTATAAAAATAACAAAGCTCACTTCTGCATGCATGACACTGAGGCAATAAGATGAAGACATGTAAATGCTCTGCCTTTAAAGTTCATTTTACTGTCAAACCCTCATCCTGCAAACAGAGGTGAATTTAAAGCAGCACAACTAAGGACACTTGTGTTTCCAAAAAGTAATGAAAATGAATCCATTTTAATTATGAGAGGAAAGCCGTGTGAGCCTTTGGATAAATCCTGTTTCAGGATTTAGCTTCAGAAACAAGGTAAACACACCTTTTTCACTGGGGAAGCAGACTAAGTCTTAGGCAGCAAGTTGATAAGTCCGGTCCCGTGTGCTACTTCACGTTTAGTAATGATGTACAAAACAGCCCCAGCATTCCTGCAGCGGTGCTGCTGGAATTATGCAGGGTCCAGGAGAACAAAGGAAATATCCAGAAGAACAACGTCTATCAAAGCCTCAAGCCACAGAAGTTACGTGAATAATGCATCAACAGCTTCACTGTTTACTGGGTCTTTGTCAGTCGCTGCACCACTGGTAAAGCTACGAAGTAATTCTTAGGTCTCCAAACTAGAGCTGAAGTGAAAATGAGCAAAAGGACAGCAAACCAGCAGCTTACCTGCAGTTCTCTGCTTGATTCAGGCTTAGGACATCATCCAAATCTTGCCTTCTCAGGACGGGTTTTGGAATTCCTTCAACCCAGACATCCTGTATGCAGGGGATCAGGTGGTTACAGAGCAAAATGACAGCAAGTTAGAGAACAGCTCACTGGGTACGTCAGCAGTTGTGTTTGGGATAAAAAGCCTGTATAAACCCATTTATCAGTTACTAAATACAATGCTTGTTAGAGACATTTTGAAAGGTATAAATGCAGTTTACCTAAAAGACTCAGCAGAAGAAAAGCCCTTACATACTTGGGTAGTGCAGAAAACGTACCTCTAAGGTATAACAGAAACATCCAGCCCAGTAAGACTCTGCACAATTAAATAAACCAGGTTTTAAGGGTTTTAGCAAGGCCTGGGCGTTTTGTTGTCTTTTATGATTACACATTTCAGAAAGATGCTGCTACTCCACAAGTAACAGGGAATTTCTCCGACTTATGCAAAAAGGGGTCAAAAATTAAACTAAATACAATTAAGATCAGTTGAATATTGTGGCTTACAGACTGGCTGCTGGCTTACCAAACATACTGCTGGGGAAAGAAGGAAAACACCATGAAGAAACAAGGTGTTCCATGTGGTTCGTAAAACTAGTACGTGATGTTCATTTGCTTAAAAATAGAATTTTTATAAATTTATAAATTTATCTATAAAATATATATATTATAGATAAATTTATAAAATTCATTTGTTTAAAAATAGAATGACCTGAAGTAGTTTT